TGTGAATGAGGTCAAAGCACTGGAAACGCAGATAGCTACTGTTTTGAAATCCTCTTAATTGGGGAAACAAAAACACATGCGCATCATTGTAGCAGCAGACATGATGGTGTAGTTACAGTTTGTTGCAGTAAGAGCAGGATGGTTTAAATGTTAAGACAGGAACAGGTCTGTTTAAATGCAAAAACGCGCGGCTTTCATTCATAAAAACAGATATTTAAGAGATATTTAACGCTGCGGTATGAGCGGTGTGCACTCCGGCGTGTGCGTTTCCTACCTGTGCGTAAAGAGCTGTCTGCGTGAGAGACTGCAGAGAGGAGAAAAAAAACTTTCACAGCGTTTATCTAAAAACATATTTTTGGCTCAGCCCGGCGTCTCCAGGGCGAAGGCGTTTTTTGAGGAGGTGAGCCATATATACAAAAAAAAAAAGAAATCCCATTTCCAGCAGGCGGCTTCGGCGCAAACCTTCAAACAGACGCAAAAAAAAACTCCATCTCCAATTTTATCAATTTTCAGACAGACTCCAGACAGTCTCCCAGCGGTTACGTGCCTGTTCGTCCCCGCGCGTGCACGTGGAATGGCGCGGGAAACAGAGGCAAGTGACGGAGTGACAGCGCGAGCAGCCAATGGGAAAGAGGAGCGGAATCCAGCGTCTTGTCCCATTGGTCGGTTGGAGTGTAAGCCCCGCCTCTGCGCCTCCTCCTCCTCCTCCCCCTCGTCTGTTGACGGCGCACTGAATAAAACAACAGCCTGAGTTAAGCAGTTCATTGCACTGAGATGTGGGTCACTGACTGCAGACTGCACTGCACTCTGGGAAAAAAAAAGCATGGTTTTATTTATTAGAGAAATGTTAGCTTACTCTCTCTCACATTTGGATTCATTAATATTAAAGTAAATTTCATTAAATCATTAGATTTCCACATTACATTTACAACATTACCCATAAAAAACAAGGATTTTATTCCATGCATTGAATTTTTGTTGAGTGTTTTTAAACTGTGCTTTTATTTTATGTCTTTTATTGTGTTTTATTTCTCTTATATTGTATTTTATGTATTTTATTTTTTTTTACTCCATTCAATCCGACCTTAATGGTGTTATTGATGACGATGATGATTATTATGGTTTTGATTTCTTCCTCTGGTCACTTCCTGTCAGCACCTGTGCTCTGCCTCTGGTCACTTCCTGTCAGCACCTGTGCTCTGCCTCTGGTCACTTCCTGTCAGCACCTGTGTGTCTGATCAGACTTGTTTGTTTGCACTTCCTGACATTCTTCCTCCTCTCTCTCATTGTTTGTGTTATTCTTACTCTCTGGTGTTCCTCGCTTTGGATAAAAGCGTCTAAATAAATTAATTGTAGAATTGTATAGAAAATGCACAATGATAGTGTGGCACAGTGAGGTTTGGATTTCCTTTTATATCGACCCACAGAAACCAGATTTCCTGCATAAAAGATGTTCAAATTAAAGCTCAAAATCCCTGACCAGCAAAGCAATCCCCAGCCTCCCATGTGGGTTTTTAAGATATCTACAAATCTGCCAAAGTAAATCTTCCTCTTTGGAGTATCTTAGGCTAATAGCCCTCTTCTCTTGGTCCTTTGACGTCTCCTCATTATGAAAAAAAGTGCCGAAACTTTCCAGAAAGCGCCTAAAACAGAGCTATTCTTCAAACATAACACATCAGAACAATTTAAAAAAAAATAAATGATGACATTTCCAAAAATGTGTGTTTTGTTATTTCACTGCAGGTCCATATAATCTGGATCCGCAGGCTCCACTTTTACTTTCCCAAGACAGTTGCTGATTCTTCTAGATGACAGCAAGAACTCTTTGTCTCACACAAAACAACTTCCAAGTTGGATTTAAATTCTGTCAAACAATACCGAGCGCGTATGCAGACACGTTTTTTGCAAAGAACGTCTGTCCCTTGGAAGGAAAATAACAAGTCTTGTCTCCTTCAGCTTTGCACCCTTTAATTTGTATTGTTATGGAAAACCGCTGGATGTGGATCGGGCACAGGATCATTGAGGTCGCCGTAATACAGTGTGACAGCTCCCCTTTTCACATCTATTTGGAAGTAAAATCAAAATTCCTGGGAAAGTGGATCCAGTGAGGGTAGAAAATGTCACATGCAGCTTTGAAAAACAGCTGTTTAACATAAAAAAATCAAAATCATATCGGTGTACATTCACTCACTCCAAAGAGAACAGCTGAGTGCATTTGAAGGCAGTATGCACATGAGTGATTGTAATAGTGTGTTCCCTTCTATTTTAAAGAGAAGAGGAAAAACTGACTCAACAAAATCCTCAGAATTCAAAGACTGCCTTTCTCAAAGGGAACCCTTTTTACGCTTTCTCAAATTAAAAACCTCATTGCTGATCCCCTCCATCACCCTGGCTTTTTAGATATTGACCATGTGGTGCTACAAAATAGCTTCTTCCTCACCGCGGGAGCCCTTAATGAGCCAATACAATGCTGCTCCAGTTCACTGCTCACCTCTCTTTGGTGTCCCCCGGGCTCTTTGTTGACGTTTGTCAGCCCCGGAGGAATTTAGGGGTTAGAAACCTGCTGTAGTCTAGCTGTAGACTGTGATGGAAATTTACTGATCTAACTTGCACTGACCTTTTATCGCTGTGTGCAAACAGGAAACTTACCAGACACAACAACCGTCTGAAACAAACAGTTCAAACTGTTATTTTTGTCTTTCATTGAGCTGAAACCTGAGACCAGGAGGAGTATTCAGCTTGGTATGAGGTTACCTGTCTTGTACTTGTTTTTCATTTTGCTGCACACTTTCTCTATTAACTGACCCCCTTTGCAAAGGCTCAATAAGATAACAAAGACACTTCAGTGTATCAGAATCTTTACTTCAGATATCCACCACAAACTTGGTGTTGTGGGCAGGATCGCTCCAGTAAGGGTTCCTGGGGTTCAACAGTGACTGATCCTCAGGAAGCTATATGGCTTCAGCCTCAAATTCAAGTTTTGGAGTCATGAGGACATGAGACTGGACTCATTCCGCTCTGTGATCCAAAGAACTAAAGGGTTTGAATCTATATTTCCACTATGAGCCTCAGACAACATCTTTGGCTCCCAGACTTAAACATGACTGTATCATCCACTCTGCAGAGAGGGTGATTGGCTGTGATCTCCCACCTCTCCATGACCTGCACACCTCCAGGACCCTGAGGTGTGCAGGTAAAATAGTGGTCAATTAGAGAATTGCAAGATTTCAGAGGAATCCACTGGATTTAAAAGCCACAAAAAGTAAACAGGCTTAGATAGATGCAACAATATTCTCTTTAATGAAGACACGAGTGGTCAGAAATAAAGGTGCAAAACGTTTAATTAAAAACAGCAGCAAATGTTTCAATCCTTGACCCACCAGGAGTTTGTGTGCAGGTATCTCCTCTGCATATGTTTATGGAAACATTAAATGAGTAAATTTATCAACCCTACTGTACAAGAAAATATTTTAAAAATACAAATTATGTATTATTATTATTTGTTTTACATATTGGGACTTCAGGGGCTCCGTATCATCTTACTTGTGCGCTCAGGATATTGAGTAGTGTGCATAAATCCATAAATTGGATAAAACCATCATGAACAACACCCACCACCCTCTGCACAGCACCTTCAGCAGGCAGAGGAGTGTGTTCAGTGGCAGACTGCTGTCACAATCCTGTTCCACAGACAGACTTAAGAACTCTTTTGTCCCCCTGGCCATACGTCTTTACAACACCTCACACGTGAACTAAATCTTCCTTTTTCCATTTCCCATCTGCACAGCTGCCAAGAGTCAGCCTCTAGTTGGACACTTTAATGATTACCTCAATTACTTACATAACACATTACACATTTAATTTAATGTTTGCACTGCCTGTTATTTAATGTCTGTTTTTTGATAAATCTTCTTTTTAAACATTGCTGTACATATATAAACAACACAACTTCAGAAGGTCAACACTTTTAATTTTTTTTATATTCAGGTGTAATTACGGATTTTTTCCTCAACTGTTTTTAGGTTCTTGTTTAAATCTCATATATTTTTATCCCTCTACGGGTTATGTACATTTCTTGTATAAATCTATTTTTAATTGCACAGTTTAAGTTTGATTCATCTAGAGGTATTCTTTAAATCTTTTTTTCAGGTTAATATATATGTATGGGAGGAGGAGGGCGTCGGTTTTGTGGTTAATTTGTAACAAATGTTTCATGTCATGTATGTCTTTGTAACCTGCTACTGGATGCTTTGAATTTTCCTCGGGATCAATAAAGTATCTATCTATCTATCTATCTCTCTCTCTCTCTCTCTCTCTCTCTCTCTCTCTCTCTCTCTCTCTATCTCTCTCTCTCTCTCTCTCTATCTATCTATCTCTATATCTATCTATCTCTCTCTCTCTCTCTCTATCTATCTCTCTCTCTCTCTCTCTCTCTCTCTCTCTCTCTCTCTCTCTCTCTCTATCTATCTCTCTATCTCTCTATCTATCTATCTATCTATCTATCTATCTATCTCTCTCTCTCTCTATCTATATATCTATCTCTCTATCTATCTATCTATCTTTCTATCTCTCTATCTATCTATCTCTTTATCTCTCTATCAATCTATTGTGTACACAAGTTGTGCTCAAAAAATATTTTATTAATTTTTTTACCTTTTTTTAAAACTATAATTTAAAATAAATTAAATTTTAAATATTTAGGTGTGGAGGTGAAAAACTATGGAGGACTAAAAGGAGGACTGCAGTGCCAAAATGAAATATATAAACATATAATTAATTAATTATTTAATAACACATGCATTTAATTAATTAAATAATTATATATTTATTTATATATTTGTTGATTTATTTCCAATATTAAACAATTGATGACACATTTAATGATTTAGATAATTATATATTTATATATTTCATTTTGGCACTTTTAGTCCTCCATAAAAAAACAAGTCTGTCAGCGATTTTTTTTTTTTTAGTTTCCTTCCCACAATGCATCGCTCCTGCAAGCCCAGCTCTGCCATGTTTGTACTGTGATCGTGAATGGGAGTCGCTGCTTCTGCATACTAAACACCGTTTCCCCTGTTTCCCTCGCCATATATCATCATAATGGCGAAATACTGAACATCAAATGCACCCTCTGGTTTATTAGTCAAACACTGCACCATGTCAGCCAACGCGCAGGGTGAGTAAAGCCGGCGGGTTTGTCGACAATGCTACGTTAGCATGGAGCTACGTTAGCATGTAGCTACGTTAGCGCGTACCTAGGCCGCAAACAAGACCGTAACTACGAGTAGCTAAAGTAGCTTAACACGAACCAGATGTTGGTGGTAAATATATAATTGTTACCGAACTACCTAGGCAACATCATTAACATGGCAGTTAAGGTAGGAAAAATACGTGTTTCGTGTTTATAACTGTTGAATAATGACAGAAACTGTCGAAGCTGGAGGTCGCAAGCTTTGTTGTTAGCATCTGCGCTTAGCCTCCATGCTAACACTGAAAGGCGCTTTTTCATAAACAGCAAATATTCAGGATTAAACACGAATTTATTTTGATTATGTTTATTTCTTAAAAGGACAAAATGTTTTGATTATTCGTGCTTGGTGTTGTGGTTTGGGGTTAAACAGCATTATGACGCAGTTACGTTGTTTTTTTAATCCCATTTGTTTATTATTTTGTTGTTTTATATATATATTTATATATTTTAATACTGATCTTTAGACATATTTATAAGTTACTGACCAGTTCAACCAAACTTATTTACCTGTATGATGTTTTTAAATGCACAAAAACAAGTTTAATCTATTTGAAAAACATCTTTGTAGGAGGTCTGGAGGTCTCTCACCCAGAACATCTTTAGCAACAGAAATGTCTTTCCCTCAATTTGATCAATATTTATGAACAATTTGAAGGTTTTCCTCACCACTTTGAAATGATGATTTAGTTATGTGTCCTCTTTTTATGTTCATCAGGAACATTTTCACGCAGTGATGCATTCATTTAAAAACATGTAGACTTCAAGTTCTTGTGTTTCTGTTCTGTTTTAGCCCTGCAGAGTTCCTCCAGCTGGAGCTTCATACAGGCTCTGCAGACTTTGTTGTTTTTTATGACATCATTGGACTAACTTTAGTTTAGTTTATATATAATCAAACATAATACAGAATGTGTTCATTCTGTGACACATGATCAAAGTAAGTTTTACTGACAGACGAGTTTAATTCATAGAGGGGGCGGGACATTGTTGATTGACAGACAGACAGTCACCATGGTTACTCACTCTCACCTGCCTGCTGCTTTGTAACGTCGTTTAGTGTAATCCCTATAAATTCAGTTATCACAACAGGTGAGTTTCAGGTGAAGAGGCTTGATAAATAACTTTTAAAAACTGAGAGAGAGCAGAAAACACCGACAGCAACATTTGAAACACCGGGGTTATATCTCCCCTCACTGTCTGTCTGAGCTCCTCTCTGTCTGACTCTCTGCAGATTGTTAACATCTCTCCGTGTCGTTAAACCTTTTTTTGAGTCGCTATCCGAGATGTAAACTTAACTGTGCACACTATGCAGAGAAGTTAACTGTTGATCACAGCGTGTTGGTTTGGAAAAATATCACAACAGTTGCATATAACCGGGATGGAGTTCTTTTTGCAGACTTAAGTTTTGTTTTCACCGCTGCGGAGCAAAAAAAGGAGGGAGGTAGACGCGTCTGTGTCGCAGCGTAAACTGCAGCATGATAGAATAAACACATTAGCCCGGTTCTACGATCTCTCTGCTTTGGCAGATCGTCAACACGTTAAAATCCTTCACGATCTAATATCGTTATATCGCCCACCACTACTTTGTACCATAACACTTCAAATATAAGCTAAGTCTCTTTTACTAGCCAGGTGTTGCTGCATGTTTTGCAGCTCTCAACAAAAGGCCTGTGATGCATTTAGTGTTGAAATAGTTTGTGGATTTAAAATGAAGGATGCAAAGAAGTAGGGATGGACCTTTGAATCGATTTATCACAATTTTACGATGAATCTTTACATCCCTACAATACGCTGAACAAAAACACAGAAAAACAAACATCCAACAAGGCAGTTGTACTTAAATACTTAAATGGATATGGATAAAAGCAAGGTTCACAATTTTCTATTCAAATAGAGTTTAAAAATATAAATAAATCTAAGGCCAAGGCCACACGTAGGCAGGTTTTTTTTGAAAACGTAGATTTTTCTGTGCATTTCTGGTCATTGAAAACTCTTTTTGGGAAACTCCTTCCAGGGTGAAGATGTTCAGATACTCAGTTTAAGGTGTTTCTGTGTAGATGGCGAGTTTTGTTCACGTAATGTTTTATAATCTGAAAAAATCACTGACAATCTGTGCATTTCAAATGTTGCTGGCCAGTAGGACAGATTGCTGCATTCAGGTGCTCCTCAGATGTCTTAGTTTCCGAGTTGGGAAGTCAGTGTGTTCATGTGCTTTCAATTCAGAAAATCCAAATGATGTAACAGCAACAAACAGCGTTGATGCTATGAAGAAAATGTGGGATATCTCTGTTATCAGTTATATTCTAGCAACAAGTTAATGTGCAAAATGTGAATTAATCAAAACATCTTTCGCCCCCTCATGTTGATGACGAATATGACGTCAAATCAGCAAGTCAGACACCTAGTCCTTTTCCGAGTTTCCAAGTTGTTGTTGCGGCTTGAGCAGACGTTCATTTGCATTTTCCAACTCTGAAACTCGTCTTTTTCCGATGTGTCCGACGCCACATGAAAGCAGGGAATGTTGACCGCTTTGGAAGGTGCAATGTATAAGGAACACCGTCTTGTCTTTCTGTTGCAGATTTTGACTTTGATGAATATGAAAAGCCCGGGGCTGAGCGTTTACGCAGGAGGAGAGGTGATGAAGACGATCTAGAGAGGTAAAGCATCTTTTTATTTTCTCATGGTTCTACAAGACTTAAGGATAGAAAAGGAAACGTGTTGTAGTTTCATCGTTTGTTTTAGTCCCTATGCAAATGGATGATGCAGCTTGAACACAGAGAAAACCATTGATATACCACACTGAGATATGCATAAAAAAAACAAGCCATGTATTAATGCAGGAAAGAATTCTATGACTCAGTTGTATCTGACTTGGCTAACCTGTTATTTGTTTTTCTCCTTCAAAGTGATTTGGAAGAGGAGTTGTTGGGGGAGGATTGGCTGTCAGGTAAAAAGGTAAGAAAACAAAATCTCACTTGAGCTGATTTATAACACAGAACTGCTCCTGAAATTCTCCACAGCGGGAGACTGTCCCTAACCTTATTCAGACGGCCGCTTCAAGCCGCAATATTTATGCCCTGGTGACTTTTCGCCTTAAATCTAAATGTAGCAGGGACTAAGTGATCCCCCTCTGTACTGTCCTCGGAGGTAGTAACAGAGCCGTTGGTCAGGTGAGACAGGATCAGCGGAGTCAGCGGGGGAGTGTAGCGCTGGGTGTGCAACGTCTGACTGTGTGTCCATGTGGAGCTACCGCTGTGCCGAAGCAACAGAGTCCTCTACACGATGCTATAATGAGAATATTTGTCTTTCTATCAATGCTACGTGTAGTTGAACAGAATCTCAATCTGAACTAAAGAGCGGAGAAGAACGTACTGGAGAACAGGAAACAGAATGCAGCAGGTTCATTAGAGCATGGAGTTCGTGGAGGTCACAGGATAAAAACGTCCCCTCCCACTCGCTTGAGGTGAATTTTCCTCTCATCAGCTAACTCAGACTTTTCTGCAGAAAAAGTACTCCTGGTTCCGATTCTGGCAGGAGAAACTCGGACTAAAGTCAGAGTGAAAAATTTGTCGATTTGCATTCACACATGCAGCGCGTCCTGCAATTTAAAAGTCGTTTTTTAAGGAGTTTTCTGCGAGTTTGATAGCCCTATCAGTCTCACTGCTTTGTTTACTTAGATTTTATGCTTGATGCATAGAAACACTTGGCTTGTAGGAAATGGTATTGTATACACTGGGTGTTAGTGTTGGTCGAATATTTAGAAAAATATAGAGGTGGACTTGTGGCAGGTGGCTCCTCCGCAGGGGGAAGTGTTGATGTGAACCGAGAGGAAGTACAGTGGACAAAAAAGAGCCCTGTTGACCTGCCCATATTGCCTTCACCACATGGGAATAGAGCATCCTTTGGGGTGGGAGGTGGTCCCCTGCCCCCACACCTTACATACGGACAAACAACGGAAGAAGTGTTGTTGGGTGGGGGTTGTTGTTGCTGCTGTGTAAATTCAATGATGAAATCGTGAAACAGACTGTGGATTATAACACGGTTTAATCAGCCGAGGTCAGACAGTTACAACAGAACACAAATTGTTAACAATCATGAACCGACAAAGTACTGACAAAGTTTCTATGTTAACAGACTTGCTTATATTCTGCTAGAAGGTACATCCTACAAATTCTTGGCTACTTCGGTACATCTCTATGAGGCAGGAAAGAAGACATCAGCTTGACTCGTAAATGTCAGACATATACATTTTATTCTTATCAAACCTTTGTTTACAACAGACAGTTGGCTCCAAACCAAATATAACTCTGCTGCTCTGAGATGTTCTACATAGATATGGTTACAGCTTCAACCTAAGAGAAGAGTTACTCTTAGATGGTAGACAGATTTAAATGGTTCATTCACAAAGTTACCAAAATGTATGAATTCATGAAAATTCAGGTGTAGAATATGATTTTTAAAAGTGCTTGCCGTAATGGTTGTTTATGTTTTGTTTCAGAATCCCTCGGAAGTGTCTGACGAGGAGCTGAATGATGACCTTCTGCAAAGTGATGATGAAGATATAAATATGAGGTACGTTTTGTTTTCAGTTTTAACGCTGATTTAGTAAAGCATCAACTTCTGCATCTTCTTAACTAAAAAAATATATCACTGTTTTCTGTTTCTGTTGTTTTTTTCAGCGGTCAGGATGTGAGCCTGAATGCCACATACAGCTTAGGCACATCCTACGAGCAGCAGAACAACTTGCAGGGAGCAGACTACACAGATGACGTTGTGAACCTGGGTGAAGAAGGGGATGTAGGCGAGGAGGGGGGCTACCAGCAAGGGGGGGAGGAGGAATACACAGAGGAATACAGCCAGGATCAAATGGATTACACTGGAGAGCAGGCTGAGGGTGATGATGAAGTGCTCGACATCCAAATCAATGAGCCCTTAGACGGTGAATTTCAAGTGAGTTCTCACATTTGCTTATTCACATATAGAAGATACGAAAACACACACATGCATGCACATGTCCTCCAGCTCCCTTTCTGCCTGACTCTATTGTGTCTGAGAGATAATGTCAGATTGTCTGTCTCCGTCTGGGACATTCAAGGAATCGAAAATCTATTCAGGTGAGGGAGATGTTTGTTGGTGATTTTGGGCAGGCAAAGAGTGGATTCATTATCACCTCCTGCCAGTTAATTTCTCCATCTTGCTGACAAAGTTTGTGTTGACGGCTTGTTTGGCATGAGGTAACGCTTTGCTGTCGCCTCCACATCCCGTGCCATTGTGACCTTGGGTCTGTATCTTCGGGGGAGTAAGAAGCCGCTTTGTGTCGGGGAGATGTGCTGCCAATCGGCGGAGGTTAATGTGAGGGGCTTTTATCTCAGGCTTTTAGACTGGATCTGATAAAGTCTCATGCAGGTGAAAAGATTATTGACCTTCCCGAGGACACCCCATACAGTTTTCTAATGATTGATGCCAGTTTTCCTTTCATTCGTTTCCCCTTCCCTCTTAGCCGGGACTAAGAGGATCAAAGATAAGACCAGATCCATGTGCAAATGTCCGTTATGGTCCATTTACCAAGGTGTGATGGTGTTTGGCACCTGACAGAGATATATTAGCCTTCCTCCCCCGCTCCAAAGAAAGATAAGATGTTGACCTTCTTGCGGAGGGCGTGCAGCACAAGTGGGTGCTTATTTTGTGTTTTTGGGTAAATGTCTGCAGGTATGGGCGTGTTTATATCATGTGCAATAAACTGTTCACAAGGTCACGTCACCTGCCTGGCCCTGACATTTTGTTCGCCACGGTATTCATTGAGTTCTGTGTGGAGCAGTTTAAAGGATTAAGCGGTCGCGTTCCCTCGGGGCAGCCTGTCCATCCGTCTTGTTCGCTGAATGTTGCTCTTCTTCTTTTCTGCATTAATGTGTGTTGCTGTTTGGCAGGTTAATGGAGCGCAACACCAAACACTTTTGTGTGACCTACAGTCTGACCTTATTTAGCGATGAGTTTTTGTCTGAGGCTGATGGTTATTTGACTCACCAGTAACTCTGATACCAGTATGAGGAGCTACTATGCTTGAGCATCTCAGATGTGGGGTTTCATGAAAAGGCGGCGGCGACAGCTTCATTTCTTGGAGTGGTGTTTCCCTATGAAGCAGTAAAAACTGATTTGTCATCTCCTACAATGTTTACGTCTGGGAGATGTTTTTGGCATGGAGTCATGAACTCGCAAGCGCAGCCAATAACGGCGTGATTTGCGAGGAGTCAGTCAATGATATTTTCAAAATCATTGAACTGGGGAGAAGTGTGTTTTTTTTTTATCTGTGCCTGCTTTTCTGTATATCATGTCAAACATTTACATCTCATTGAATTTCAAATGCTGTCAGGAATAGTAATGAAGCCTGGCTCCCACTGTTATGGTAATTTGGGTCGGGAGGGGGGCTTACATGGTGTCTCCCTAAAATCCTCCCCATAACATTTCAATGTTTGCCTTTATGCTCTGTATGGGGTTTGTCTTATTTTCTTCAGATTTTATTTTTGTCTATGAAAAAATCACAAAAAATGATCCTTATTGAGGGGTTGTTACCTCTTCAACTGTTCTGTATCATCCGTGTGATCCTTTTAAGGATGATGATTATGAAACCTCCTACGACGAACCTATGGATGGACATGGCGTCCAACAGGCGGCGGCCCCTGAGGCAGAGGCGGATGTAGGGGAAGGAGAGCAGCAGGAAGAGGAGAATGAAGATACAGCCGAAGGCTCTCAGGTCCCCGACACAGAGGAGGTACGCTCCGACGCTCTATATCGATAACACCTCTAGCACTCTCTACACGCTAAGGATTCAGCTCCAGCTGATCTGCTCTTGTTGTGTGAAATGTTTTAATATCTGATTTTATCTCAATAAGGTAATTTAGAGAATTAAAGTCAGGGTTGGTAATTTTCTCCAGATCCCCTTTTTAAGGTTTTGGTGTAAATTGTCTTCAGGTCCTGACAGAAATTAATAACTCGTGTTCTCTGAAAAAGGAACAAAGAAAATCCATCATCTGTATCAGTTTGTAAGCCTGTAAAAAAATCAACCAATGTCTGCAACGAGGTACCAATCTGATGAACCAATCAGGCGCCTCCCTGTCTCCCTGTCTCCCTGCTCGCTCTCGGAGTTTATACTGTGAGTTTACTTACCGCTGAATGAGACGACGTTGTTTCTACACAATGCAAGCGATGAGCTGAGGTCCGTTTCTGGTGCAACGGCGCTCGCTCATGTAAGTGAGGGGCGTGGCTTTAGAGGGACCACAGAGGGGAGGGGCTTGATGTAGAATGCTACTTTCAAAATCATGCTAGTTTTTGAAAAATTACCAACCCTGCCTTTAAGATTTAGATCGATATTCATTGTTAAATAGTTGAAAATATTTTAAGATCTGTGTAAGCTACCTAACCAGCTAGCCTGCTACCAAACAATCCGGCGCAGAGGGGAGGGAAACATTGCCATGATAACAGCAAGCTCCAACAATCAGACACTCGTCGTGGGTAGTGTAGTTCTTTTCCCTGATATTGTGAATAAACCGTTTTTTTTTTTGTCTTAAAAGGAGGTTGGTATCAAACAAACAAACTTGTGTCTTGTACAGGAGCATAAACCATTGTTTCACACTCAGGTAGCTCGTGGTCAGTCTACCTGTGATGGTTATGACATCACGGCTTATAATAAAATCCGATATGTAGAAAATGAACAGGATTTTTACTTCTGTAACCATGCTGTTGTAGTATTGATTACTAAATTAAAGTGTTGGTAGAGTGGAATATTAAAATGTGTTCAGTTTGCTAATTGATTAATTAGCTAATGTTGCAGCTCAGCAGGTATAAGAAATAAAGATGCACTGCAAACCATGAGGAACATATCAAGTTTGTCTCCTCCGACCAGAATTTTTAAAACCGTTTAGGAGGCTAGACTTTTTAATAACAAAATTCTAACCTCTGAAAATGTTTCCAGTTTGAAAATGAAGCTGAGGCAGAAACAAAGGAGGAATCGGATGAAGAAGATGAGGAAGATGAAGGGCCTGGTCGCATACGCTTCAAATCGGAGAGAAAGGATGGCGGTGTTGCACGTTTGGCTGATGCAGGCAGTAATAGGAGGAATATCCCGGAAACACTAGGTACAACCTTTTTCCTGCTGGGCACAATATATCCTTCTCTCTTTAAGGGCACACTCACATTAGGCCCACTTGTCCCTCACCAGGCTTATGCATGAGCACAGAAAAGTCTCAAATTTGTACTTTATTCTTCACCGTAAAAGATCTTCATCAGCATTTATTTATTTTTTTACTAATAAAGACGTGATCTCTTTCTCTGTTCCTGACGTCCATTAGAACTGTCGGAGAAGGCCAAACGAGATCTGATGCAGTTTGAGGAACAAGAACGGCAGAAGAGACAAAACCGCTACGGAGGCCGAGGGAGAGGAGGATTTGGAGGGAGAGGAGGCAGAGGAAGAGGAGGCTTCACACCTTTTGGAATGACAGATTTTAGAGGAGGAAACAGAGGAAGAATGAACGACCAGCGGATCCCTCTGATGGGAAACATGGGCATGCAGGTAAGCCATTGTTTTTACCCACCGAATAACCCTGAAGGAAAAGTCTCAAAGAGCTTTCACACTTCCTGAAACACTCCTGATATTTTCAGGGTGAGCTGATGTGAGAACACAGCTGGATATAATCAGGAGAATTCGCCTCGACGTAAATATTCACAGCTTGTAACGGCGGTCAGAGTAGAGCCAGGGATAATCTCCCGCTGTGAACAACCAGGTCAGGAGAATATCCGGAGCAGTCCTCCTGAAATTATCTAGATATTTTCAGGAGTGCAGATGTGAAAAACGGTTCATGTTTCACCAAAGGGGGCGATCAGGTTTTCCTTTTAACCTCCTTTCTTTTGTCACAGTCGAAACGAGTTTAGTCTTCCATATACTTGACATTTGTTTAGCTTGCTGCTGCTCTCCTTTCCGTCTAAGACCTCCAAAGCTGTAGTCGTTTAAACGTGAATAATGTCACAACACTCTCCCCCCTTATCAGTGTTGATATATGGATTAGAGCAGCATTTGGCAGTCGTCCATTTAGACAGCGTTTTACAAAATTGTTCTTTGCCCAGGATTTAGTTCCTTGTGGGCTTTTATTATTAGATATCGCTCCAAGCATTTAATCCTTTGATTTACACGGCTCATCAGTTCATACAGGACCATCTGAAGGACTAAAGAAAAAAAAAAGTCAACATATGACCTAAATAATAATCAACACAATTTAGAAACTTTCATTTTGATTTGACCCCTGAATGACTTTGAGCTTTTAATCAAAGCAACATTTTGTGGAAAAAATAGAAAAACCCGAAGAGTGTGCAGAAATGTTCACCAGACGCAGTAGTGTTCTGTAAACCTTTCTGTGTTCTAACCTCTCTCCATTTTTCAAAAGCATCTCCAATATTGATCCTAGTTTGAGCACGTTTCTGCTCATGGAGCTTATTAGAAACATGCAGAGGCTTTTTAGGTCGGGTACAATCACTTCTATCTGAACCACTTCTCTTGCCCGCTTCCATCACTGCAACACCTGTTGGTTTGACCTGATAACTGCTCTCATATCTGACAAACTGAGGGGCGTCCAAAATGGCTGTGTGGTGGGGGTAGCCTTAAAACCGTCTACCTTCTCTGGTCCAAACAAATCCAGAGCATTCAGAAGCAGAATCTAAAGTTAGAAGGAGGACATACTGGCTGCTGCATTGTTGTCAGAGAAGCCAGCACTTCAACATAGCATGTTTCCTTAATGTCTGATCAGATAGTAAGATACCTTTATCATCTCACTCACTACACTTCTTACTGATTGGACCTTTTAATTTAACGATATTAGGTTGTCAAATTTAAAAACAAGAACATCAACGCTGGTGTGAAAAATTACACGACGGATGGATGACATGCCAACACCACAAACACACTCGATTTTCGTTAATGAGCTCATTCTCTTTACAACATACCTTGTGTTTAACCACTGGACTAATTTGGTTGCTGGCATGTTTGTTTATTTCTTTGTTTGATTGTTTGGTAGCTGAACCAGATAGACTGGCCAATTATCAAGGACCCATTCACCTGTTATAATTATTCTTCATTTAGCAGTCATAGCATCTCTGGCTGATATTTGCAGACTGTGATCTCCATGAATGTTGTCTTCAGTTGTATGCAGCTTGTGAATATTCTGATGAATCTTAAGCCGTGCATACATTTCCTGTATATATCCATCTTCAGTCCTGCGGTTGAATATGACTCGTTGATGTTTCATCACGTGGCTGCAAGTGGTGAAATCAGATAAAGAAATATGTTTTGACAGGCTGTCTTGATTTTTCCCTCCTCTCCATTTCCCCCATCTCTTTCCAATTAACAGCAATCCTCCCGCATGCCTCATCCTCATCAGCTTCATCAGCAGCAACTGCACTCCCAGCAGCACCACCAAACCTCACGTCCAAGAGGACCCCATCCCTTCCAAGACCATGGGCGCCCGCTCAACCAGCAGCCCCTTCAGCCCCTCATCCCCCCGCACATGTCTCACCGCTCCCCGCCCTTACGGCCCCAGATGGAGCCACCGCCACGAATGATGAGCTCTCCGCCGCCCAACTTCCCCCAGCATCACCAGCAGCAGCAGCAGCCGCCGCCAGCTCCCAAAAACATCCATATTAACCCACATTTCAGAGGGCCCACGTCATCCTCAGTACAAGGTAGGTTTATCCACTCTCACTTTGTAAAATTTTTAATGAAACGGTGCGAGAGAGAGGTCATCTCTGTTCTGTTTTTGGGTTTCTAAAAGAAACGTCCTGAAATATAATTCATAACTGATGTTTTTGTGTGGTTGCTACTCTTGATTTAAACCAGTTTAGTACGAGTTGGAGTTCATGTGTACTAAAGATTCACTGTATTAAAATGGTTAGAAATTTGTTTTTTTAAGGATTTGTAATAAGAGTATAATTACAAGTCAATGGATTGTCTATGCTGTGTCTTGGGTTCATTATTTTTTTCTGCAGTGTTTACCGTAAATTCTTGAATATATGTTGCACCGGTATATTAGCCACAGTCTGTGTTTGGGGGTCTCAGAGGGAAAAGAAGGTTTCAACTGTCTTCTTGCAGTTGCAAAAGTGCAGTTTCTGTGTCGCTCTTTTAGTATCATTTGATATCGCTTTGCAGAGTCACATGAAACATATGACACATCAACAGCCCGCACGTCTCCTTGTCCACCTTCGCTGGTCACTCTTTGACTTTAAATGAGGAGTCTATCAATCAGTCCAGCACTCCACAAAGGCCACCGCTTTCTTTAAATGCAGGATTTTGAGCTAATGACGGAGAAAAGATGTTAAAAAGTGGCGCTGCCAGTCTGGTCTGCGTCGCTATGTATCCCCGTTGCAAGCAACAATGAATGGAGGAAAAATGTTCAAGATCATGAGTGCAAAGTTAACATGACAATCCAGGACAACCCACAGAGTTACAGTCTGCATGAAGAGAATTATAAATCTTGTATTTTTCTGCGTGTGAAAATCCTGAGCGTAATTTGATCCGCGATTGTGCAGCTCTAGTTAATCAGTGAGATGCTGAGTAGAGGTGTATGATGCCGTCATGGCTGACAGTTATCCTTACATTGTCCTGAAAGGTGTCTGGATTAGAATGTCACTTTGTTGTTTGCTTGAATGACAAGTGAATAGCTCTCTCAGCCAGTAATGGGTTTATCCTCCATTTTTTTCTTCTGGCCGCATCACCATTTCATTCCCTGAGATTGGTTTATCTGGCCTGTCTGTCCAGGCCAAGATTGAAATTTTGTTAGTAAAGCGTGGTAGCACAGATTTGTGTGTGTATGTGCACGTTTGGGTTTTGCTCCTGAGAGGAAAACTGGAAAATCGGGGATTGCCTGTGGTTATGATTAAGTGTGAGTGTGTGTGCATGTTTTTGTGTACATGCGTGTTATTTGTGTTGTGTTTATGTGAGTAGTGGGGACCACTTGGATGTTTCTCATCCATAGATGTTACTCAATTAAAGCAACACATTTGTTTTTATACAATCTTGGATTTTTGAATTACCTAGTTGTCATATTCCAAATAAAACAGAATTTTATGATATTTTATTTTCACATCCTTCATATTTCTGTGAGCTTTCTGGTCTGAACTCAGCTGTGTAAAGATGTGAGGGGCAACTCTAACATAAAATGTATCATGTAAGCCTGTGGAACAGCCTTCAGCATGGAGATGTCTAATGGGCTCCTCCCTTTCTGCTATCACCACCCTCTCTCTGCCTACTGCCCCTCATTTTCATTTTTCTCCCCCCTCTGCCCCTCCTCTCCTCTCCTCTTCCTGCCCTCCCTCCCTTCTCTCCCCCTCTCGATCTCATTGCAGTGCCCTTGATGCCTCCTGCTCAGAGCCAGCCCAGACCTGCTGTGGGTCCTCAGAGATTTCCCGTGAGTAGCAGCTGCTCCTCTCCCTCCCTTTTTTCGCCTCACTTTCTCTGCCTCTCAACACGGTTCGCGTCCTCTTTTTTGTGTGGGCAATATCATTACGGCAATTAGACCGCCTGCCCTGGCCAAACACTGTTAAAGCAAATCTGTAAACACTGATACGAGTCTGGCTGCACAACTGGAAATGCGTGATAGGGGCTTTAGGCGGTAGACTTTTGGAGGTCGGAGCTGCAGGAGCGGGACTTAGTTAGCAACTCTTCATGGATGGACTGGGGCTCAGACTAGCCAGCTTGGCACATAATGGAATTTTGAAACCAGGATATACTTCCAGTTAAAATTCACTTTCCACAAGTTTGTGTCCCAAAGGCACCGAGACCTTTTTGAACGGTATTTTGTAGTAATGAAACATAGTGGAGGCTTGATGGGGCCTTAGTTGAGCCTCTTGCCTTTTAGTACCGTATATTCTGAAGGTCTGAATTTCATGTCAGAGAAAAGGGTTCTTAAGTCAGTTATTTCCTGCAAGAAAAGGTCCTTTATTTCACTCACAAAGAACCCCATCCAAGAGATGACGGACATGCCTTTAAAGTAATTACTGTATCGAGGCAAAATGGCTCACTCGAAAGTCAGACAAAGTGCCCTTAGTTACTTACTTACTTCTCGTTAATGATGCCCAGGCATCAGGTGCTGCTGGTGCTGACTGACATCTTCCTGCAAAGTGCATTTTGTATGGATTTATGCAAATTAGCCATTGGGAAATAGCTGCAACCAATTGCATTCTGTTGGATTTACAACCTTTCTGCCAAATGAGCCAGCCTTTCACATCGATGTCAGCCTTTGCCCACAAAAAAGAAAAAAAAAAAACAAAGATATAGAAACAAAGGCATATTTATTCCTTCTGTGTCAGTATTGTGCAGCGCCGGCTCCCCGAGGTCGTTGATAGTGCAGGATGTTGCTAGCACGGTAGCAGGGAGCTGTTTATTTTGCCTCCTATCAGACAGTAGACCGTGGGGTTTGGAAGGGCGTGCAGACGACTGGGCTGATGAAGAGCATAGTGTTGGACTGCCCACAACTGTCAATCGCGTTTTTGGCCGCCGTTGCCAAGGACACAATTTGAAATGCAGGTGACATAGCAGCCGGCTACATTCCATTTACCAGTGGGCACCTGATTACTCATGATTATCATACATTATCATCCCATCAAATTTAATTGTTAAAAGACCGGGCGAACGGGGAGGGGGGGTCATAGCCTCTAGTATCACTGCATTAAAAAGAAAATTCGTTGGTGGAGACTGCTTTTGAAATATTAATCTGAGTGCCAATTAAAGTTATTTGAATATTTAATCTGCTTTTAATAATGACATTCAGTTTAACCACAAAATGAAGATGGCACACGCCACAATACTCGAGACGTTTTGATAGGAAGGGCTTTATTTTTATTTGATTCAATATCACACGTTTTTTTAACACATTCACAGATTTTTGACTCTTTTTTCATTCTGTGCCTGCAGTCTGTATCGTAATCATCTTTAAGTAGATAATACAAATTCCAGTGTTGTAGTCAAGACCCGACTAACCGAGAACAGAGTGCTCCAAGACCAGAAAAATCTCAGAAAATTCCTCAATTTGTGTGCAGGGGGCGTGTCACTCAATTACACCGTGACACCGGGAAGGTTTCGGCCGTAACCGGGGGATGAAAAAATTAAAGCTGGACCGGTAAACCGATAATTTCGGCCAGTTGATAACATCGGCCGATATCAGCATTTCCAGTGACTATCAGAATAACCTTATTTTCTCTAAAGATCGAACATGGATCTTAGAAAGACACCGGCCAATATTTCAGTATCAGACTATTTCTCTCTCGAATATCGATTTCGGTATCGGGCCCTAAAGTCTCATATCGGTCGGGTCCTAATAAAAATCAAACTACAATTGAATTGGAAGTAATTTGCTCTTTTAGAAAGAGCTGTTTACCTTCTAATCACAGGAAAAATAGCCTGGCAGTGGTGGTCTTGACCGGTCTTGATTTAAAATCCGGAGTCCGCCCAGTCTGAGACCGAGATAAAACAGAGTAAAAATGCTTTAGATTCCGACACAGGACCTTGAAAAAGTGGTCTCGATACCGGTCTTCAGACCAAGACAGATTTCGAGTACTACAACACTACATCTCTCCACCTGCACATTTCCTTTCTTTACAAAACAATAATTTGACATTTGGCCCCTCTCCATTATAAATGTCTCACTGCTAAGAATTTATCCTCGCATCACTTACATATCGAGTAGCCCGCAGCCTGTTTATCAAGGATTAACTGAGAGAGGATGAGCTGTTATTTAAGAGGTATTATAACGGACACCAGAGTCCTCTTTGTGCAAACCTGCCTGTCTTGACCTTTTAGAATGGTACAAGTGCGCCCCTGTTGTGATTCCACCCCCCCCCCACCCCCACCCTCCGCCTTCGTAAGCCCCCTTTGATTAACTTTCTGTTAAGCAAGTTTTTCAGACTCTGGCCTTCTAGCTCTCGAACGCCTCTCCTCTCTAAATACCGCTAACGTAGCAGCGGAATAAAGATGGATTAAGCCTTGATAGCATCTTAAGTAATTTACAATAGGCTTGGAGGAGGCAAGAAGCCCATTTGTGGAAGTGCCACGTGTTGAATAGCAGGTTAATTTTTCAACAGAGATGGATGCTTAAAAGAATAAAGGAGACGGTTATGAGGGAGAATTGGAATCCCAAGGAGGGATTAATGGGTTGTTATCTAGTTTTCCTTGGTAGATAGATTGGGAGTAACGTGCATGCGATGATTAGAAAGCTGTGGAACATACAAAGTGGTTGAAACAAAGGTGAGGGCACTCATCCCTTCCTGAAATACCCTTTCCTTGTAAGAGACAGGCTTTTAGAAGGTTTATCAACAAAGCCAGAGGTAGCGTTAATGCAGGTTAGCTCATGAATTCAGGCTGTAGGGTTTTCTTTAATACTGGCATGCATATTGATGTTTATATCCTACGATTCTGTGTCTTTTTAATGACCACCAGCCTTCCAATTACAAGCGCCCCCTTGCACAATGGAATTCTCCTAAACAAATTCCCATTTTTCATTAGTTTAATTTGTTTGTGATTATTGAGTTCCCAGTATGGCCTATCATGCATGAGTTTTGTGTTCTTCCCAGGGAGCGGGAGACTTCCAGCAGCACATGTCGGGTAATTTTGGCCAGCCCCAGCGGCCCCCTCATCACATGGAGCCCTTTAGGAACCAGCCACCTCAAGGCCCCCAAGACAGAGAGCCCCTCTTTATGGGAGGTGAGTCCTATACCCCAGCATTGACGAGGGTTACAAAGCTCTCTTAGCATATTTAATCCTATTCGACATCACCTCTGGCGGTGTACCTACAGGGTATGCTGCTAGCTTTCTGCCGCTCTCATAGCAGCACTCATGTTAAATGCATGTGTATATATATACATCTGAATGAGCCTTGGAATCTGCATTACACATCTACATTCTGATTCACTGATTTCCCTGACAGGGTTAACACAGAGTTGTATAAAACCCACTCGGTTGTCTTCCTTGATAGCCCTCTTTTCCCTTGTTCTAACATTTTTACACATTGCATCTTGAGAGGGAGTTACTGATGGATTAAAATTGCCTCACAAGGCAGAACACTGACATCTCTGTTGTTTTTTGGCCTTCCCCCTTGCATGTGCAAAGAGCGCACCGAGTCAACACGGTTTGCCGGGCAGCACATGTTTGATCACCAGGGCCCCAGCCCTCTTATGAACAACAGCCACAACCTCCACCATCAGCAGCAGCAGCAGCAGCAGCTGCCTGGCCAGGGCCACATGGGCTTCGGCCCGCCTGGACCAACCTTCAACCAGCCGAACCCGGGTCCACTAGGACTATTCCCCAGAGAACCCCAAAGACCCAACATCCCTCCCCATCAGAGTCACCAGGGGATGGTGGGCTTGAATCAACAAGGAGGCCCGCCAAACCAACCGAGACCCTTCATGGGCCCGCGGCAGCCGTTCGGTCAGCAGGGGAACCTTTTCCCCCCGCCACAAGTCCAATTTGGGATGCAGGTACGACTACGAGTAAGTGATTTTTACAATCATTGGATGTCTGTGTAATTGAGTGTGAGTGTGTAGGGTCTCTATATTTTCTCGGATAGTTTCTTGAATTTGTTTGCATGCTATGGTAAGGTCTCTCACCTGGAACAGTTGTGATAAAGGAGCCTGGTTAACACCGGACTTCTCTGCACAAATGTCTGATTTTTAGTTGGCTGTTTTTCTCTACGTTATTGAAATTTTCTGTGACAAGAGCGAGGACTAGAGTACTCTTCACATGAATAAACTAGACTTGATATCATATTCACTGGCACTGATGCGTTGAGGAAAAAGACTCATGTCTGCTTGGCACCTCTGCATTTTGCAAGAGACGTAGGCAAGAGCTCCCTCTAGTGGACCAATCACCATTGTCCTATTATTTATGTTGCGCTAATACAAGAGTTTAATTGTATGCAGGAATGAATCAATGTCGGGATTAGATTTCAGGAGAAGGGAATTATGAAAATGAACTATAACAGTAATAATGCATTATATGTTATATTTACAAAGCTCTGATTTTGTTGATTACTGATGTGTTTTTTTTTTCATTCTCTGATTGTCAGGGCTTAATGCACGGCCCTCCCGTCTCCCAGCTTTCGCACCACGACCCCTTGTCATCCCATCAGCCCATGCACCAGCACCAGCAACATCATCGGCAGGAGCTACCGCATCATCAGCAGCAGCAGCTAAATGTCAATGAGCCTCGCCCCATGATGCACCACGGCCAGAATCCCTTCCACCAACAGCAGGCGCACGGTAGCCCCAGGCAGATGACTCCACGCCCTCAAAACCCCCAACAGCGAAACATGTCCAACAGGCAGAGGATGGTGAGACATTTACATATTAGTAGCTCAACTATTCTAAGTGCTGGAAGAAAGAACACTCCACCCATTTTAATTGTTGTGTTATTCAAACTCCTGCACATCATTCTGTCGTCATCTTTCACCCTAAATTGAAAATATAATCTTAAATATGTGAGCATCGGATTGATTCGTACTTTGCCCTTTCTTCAGAACACCCCCGTCTCCAAGCAAATGCAACAGCGCAACAGCAACCTACGGGAGCTCCCTGTAGCACCTGGCAACACAAACATGAACAGCGCCCGCCCCGCTGCCAACGTGAGGCCCGTTGCCAAGGCAACGCAGGGGGTGCGTCCCGGGCAGAACACTCAGCCGGTGCCTGGCAGTGGCAGAGGAAGAGGCCAAGTCGCTGCCAAGCCCGAATCCCTCCCTGGAGGAGATGGCAGGACAGTGGTTCGCAAGGAAGTCCCAAGAACGCAGGCCAGCACGGCACCACAGGTCGTCCGTCTAACACTCAGAGCAAGAGAAAAAGCACTCAGTCTTCATGCATCATAGATACAATAAACTAGATAAATATGCTTTTTTAATTTAATATTCTTTTGAAATTACACTATAAGCTGTCTTTTTTTTCCTGCTAAATACAGTGACCTAGAAATTGTAAGCTCAGTCAAGCTTATTAGTGTGCTGAGAAGCACTCCCATTTATTAAAAGCCCAATCATAAGGTCGTTAATGACTGCAGTCTCATTCCATTAGAACGAACAGATCAATACTATTGCATTTTCCTCTTGGGTTTTGCCTTTGATTACATCTGAGTGTCAGGCCAAGTAATATGGTTCAAAACGGACACACTAGCACATGAATACCCTTCCAGTAAGCAGAGACAGATAGTCATATTGTAATTTGGGTTTTCTGCCAACAGGACCCCGACGAAGATGAGGAGACGAGGCAGTACCGTCTGAAGATCGAGGAGCAGAAGCGCCTGAGAGAGGAGATCCTGAGGAGAAAGGAGATGCGACGGCAGATGCAGGCTGGCGAGAGGAAGAAGGAGCTGCTGGACAGGCTCAATTCCACTCCGAGTCAAGGCCCACCTCCTTCACAAAATCAAACCTCACAACAAAACCAGCAAACGGCGCACCCTGCACAACAACAACAACAACAACAACAACAACAACCACCACCACAGCAACAGCATGAACAAAGACAGCAGAACCAACTGCAACCACAGCAGCAGAGACAGTTCCCCCAGAGAACACCACAATCATTAAATCAATCATTAAATAACCCTAATCAAGGCATCCCCATCCCTCCCAACGGTGAAGCTCAGACCCTAACGCCCCGTCCCAACGTCAAGACACGTCTGCAGATGGTGAAGGGTTGCACCCAACTGCCACAAACCCCCGGACCCCGTCAAAGTCCTCAACAGCTGCAACAGCAAAGGAACATGGCTCTGCAGAATGTCAACAGACCTGGTGCTCAGATCCAGTCCAATCAGGCCCCCCTAAAGACCATACCTGTGTCTCCCTCTGTGGGTCCTGGCCAGGCTCAGGCTCAAACTCCGATTCAAGGACTAAAACCTGGAGCTAAAAGAACTGTGATGCAGCGGACTAAGAGCTTGGATATCGTAGACCAGACGGTGCCACAAAAAGTCAGGCTCGTCAAACTTTCAGGAGCGGTAAGCTTGTGTATTTTTTTTTTCTTTTATTCATCCAACATCGTCCCAGTTCTATGTCCGACATTTATTTGATACTTCTTGAACAGATTTTAACCTCTCGGGGAAACGACAGGTTTGCAAGGAAATGCCACTGATGTCTATTTTGTAATCCAAAAGATATCTAACCTATGGGAATGACACGGTGATGTCTGTGTCACTTTGGCACAATTGATTTGTTAAGAGTTTTCCCCCCTCAGCTTTGAGGACTGGTATTTAAGTCACGTTGCCTGCACTTACATTTTACCCTTAAGAACACAGAAAGGTATTAAGAGAGCAGAATGACATTTATCTGTAGAGTTCGGGACGCCACATCGCTGCTCTGAAAGGTCGATATCATCTCTTAAGGACAGAAGGGTATCCTTTAAGAGAGAGGGTGACGGTAACATCAACAAAGTCTAGAATTACCACTTCTGGCTGATTTATAACCACTTGATAAGTCACTTCTTTGCCCTTTAATTACACATTAATTCTATTGAGAAAGCCACAAAGGCATGCATGTTAAACATTCACAGTTGTCGTTGATGAGACACGTTGGTGGGATGTGATAGTATTCGGAATAAGCCGCTTTCTGACTCCATCCCTGAGGATCAAGCCGCCGAGCCAAAATCTCTGTCTGGCTGCAGATGAAGATAACTGAGTGTCAGTGCGTTAATGGAAACCCGCGCAGAGCTATCTGATGTGCCGCATCTTTGAGAAAAAAGGGGGAGTGGGATGAGAGAGTGGAGAGAGAGAGAGAGAGAGAGAGAGAGAGAGAGAGAGAGAGATGGAAACTAGCCTATAGCTGAGGTGAAAAGAAGATTGTCTTGATGCTCCCTCTCCCACATTGTTCTCCTGTCATCACCAGACGCTTGACAATGTTATCTCCCTCCTCTCTTCTTTCCTTCCTCTTCTTTTTCCTCTCTGTCATCCCTTGCTTGCTTTTCCTTCCCATCATCCCATCTCTCAGGTGCATGGCAACAAAAGAATGCCAATCCGAGTCCCTTGTAATTAATCTTTCTTGGTTGAACACGGCTGCTGCTGCAGCTAGAGCATAATACCTGTGTAAGAAAGTTGCCACTTTTGAGGATTTGGATTTGTATGGCTTACGCACACAGATAAGAGGCAAATTATATTTTCATCAGGGATAATACAAAGCAACGCACGACACAAAAGCAGCAGGAGGAGGGAGAGGGGGCGTAAGGGGGATGGGGTACACATCGAGCTGCTGTCGTTTCAGTGTAATGCAGCTTAGCATTTGATGGGTGCAATCAGGAGCTGTGATTTCTATAGGAGGGATTAATCCATTTACTCTCGACTGGGGACAGGTCAGAGATATCGCTTCTTTTCTTTTCCCCACGTATTGATCTGTCACATCTCTTCGCTGAGTCGGGGAAAAAGACGACCTTCAATTCCTCCCCGCATGTCAACAGAGTTGAGCTGTGACTTTATTTGATAATGAGACCATCACCTTGTTGGGTTGATCTTTATTCCCCACAGATTGTGTGAAAGAGGATCCACTTTCAGTGCTGACACCTTTTCTGTGAGCGGTGGAGAGGCGGCCTCTCATTTCTCCCCGTTGTCCATGAACACTTGGCATTCTGGGAATCGATGATTGATTGATTTGTTTTGATTATTGTGTCATGCATGGATACAATGCCCGTTTCGTAAACATGCTCACAGAAACCCCTGCAGAAAGAACAGAAGCCATGTTGGAAACATCCTGATGTTATTTGCAAGCTCTAGAAACCATAGAGACCAGTTATTTAATATCCAAACAGAACAACAGATACATTCTGTGCCGTGTAACGACTTTGGACACAATTTTATTATTAGAGTCGATGATGCCTGCACATCAAGGTTGTTTAAAGTTGTGGTACTTTCCGAGTTCACATGTTTTAAAACAATACAATCTCCGTTAATTTAAAAACAGACAGAGGAACTTAGAGGTCAGCGTAGGTTAATTCAAATTCACGTCAACCGAAACTGGCCTATCCAAAGTCTGTTTGTGTCTCAGAAGGATGCAGAAGTTTGGGTTATCTCACTTTAATTGCCTTCACACTTGCAGAAAACATATGAAAAGCATCGTATAGCGGACTCTGTTGCTTCGTACCCCCCTCCTGTCTGACAGGGATAGTCTCCTGCTGTGAGCTGCATGTGTAAACGACCAGGTCAGGAGGATTTCAGGAGCATTAACAGGAGTGCATGTGTGAAAACAGCTTTAGAAACACAGAAACATTGCCAATGTATTGTAATTTTTGGTGGTTAAAAATAAGAAATAACCCATTAGGTGTAAAGAATATCTATTTTTGTTGCCGTGGCTACAGGTATCAATACTGTTTGATATTTACTGTTGAGTGATCACAGTTTAGAATGATCATATCGTTTCCACCCAACTGCAAAAGGAGAGAAAGGTTGGACATTTTTGCACGAGTTGCTAACTTAGTGCTGTCCTCCATCTTCCCCACTCAGTTTGCAAAGGGGACTGTTGCTGCGGATACCCTGGCGCAGCAACCAGGGGCCTGGCCGGTAACACCGCTCAACCAGGGAGTCCAGAGGAAGGTCACCGTGACAGGACAGCAGCCACAGGGAGCAGGCGGAGCACCGCAGGCTGGCCGAGGGGGAACGGGCAACCCACAGCAGAACAGGGTAGGTCCTAATGAGAGCTCTCCTTTCTCCTGTGCTTTAGACACCGGGAACTATTTCACCTCAGATATATATTAATAGTGCGGACTTTGGGCTTCTGAAAATAAAAGGAGCTAAAATGTCTCCTGTAAAGTTGTCCTGTGCCTCTGGCGCCAACCTGGCATTCAGGAGACATACCAATCGAGCAGCAGTGGTAATAAGACAGGACAGTATGCCAGGTGCAGGAGTATTGACAAGCTGAGAGCAGTGTAACACGGGGGCCTACACAGGGTCCCCTGGCCTCTCTGCACGCCTGTCACCAGCAGGCTGCTGTCACACTTCCCATTCTCACTGACACTGACAGGGTAAGGCAGTCACTATAACGCTTGCATGGCTCCTCTTCCTTTCATGCTCCCCCGCCCCCACACACACACACACACACACACACACACATAGATACTCCCTCTACCTCCTCTACTATCTTTCTGGGGTCTCTCCCTCCTCCTCCTCCTCCTCTTCCTCTGCAGCTGAGAAAACATACCTCTCACTCTCAAAGCTCAAATGAAGATATGCCATCCCACATGCATCACGTTCTGACGTTGACGCTCTATGTAGAAATATGATAAGTCAATCATGTGAAAGCCTGGTGTGTCTGAGAGAAAACAGCGTTTTTACATTTCACTGTGTGCCGAGCAGCCTTATAGCTGCTCCGCACACACGCCTGAATGCAGAATTAAAACATCAGCATGCCCCGTTTTAAGCGAGTGTTTGCGCTAAATACTAATTTCTCACACCTGGCGTTGGTGCAGGTCGTGGTGTCGGGCCGGGGCCGAGGTAGAGGGGTTGGTCAGTTGGGTCGAGGTCGTGCGGTGGCCACCAGACAGAGCCAGAGAGGTGCAGAGAGCGAACGCTGCACCGTGTCCATAGAGGGCCTTTCCTCATCCACAACGGACTTGCAACTGAAGAACCTTCTCAGGTCCATCGGGCCCATAGAGGTCGGTACTGCATTTAATACACTTTTATACACCCTCTGTAATGTTTTTGTGTGTTTCCTCGTACACTGATTACATCGATTGTTTCAGAACTAACCCAAATAACCGTAGTTGGTTTAAAGTCTAACATTCAGAAGTCAGAGCTGTTACTAATGATATGCAAGTCATTGTCTGTTTCATATGTTTGCTGTGTAAAAACCATGAAGACTGCTCATGACGTAGGTGTCTCTTTGCACCCTCCACCGTGGAAGTAGTTCTTGTAGTGTGGTCCCATAGCGCCCTCTGTCGTAGTGATTAGGTGGGTAAAGGAAGTGGATGTGTTCACTCACCACTTGTGCAATAAGAGGACGACCTGGCTGTGCTGAATGTCTTCAACTATACGCCCCCCTCCCATGTGTTGCAGATGTTCAAAATGATGCCCCAGCAGAGGAAAGCGGTTGCTAAATTTTCCAGTCCTGAGCACGCAGCGAGCTTTCAAACAAGCTTCCACAGGTAATGCATATTCTCAACTTCTATAGAGATATTAATTTGCGTTTTTGTTGCCTTTTCATGCTGCTTGCATTAAGCTACTGCAATACAACAAATGTGTTCTTGTTTATCTTTGCCCCTGAGACAATGGTTTCAAACATTATCACAATTACTACACAGGCACATGATTGATTTGTCCCACATTGACGTGTCGCTGATTGATGGATGAGGAGCATAAAAAGAGCCAGGTGGGAGTCCCGTCACAAGATGTCACTCTCTCCCAGCGAGGGAACCTTCCCCTGTGCAGCTCTCTGACCTGGCGTAGGAAATCATCCTGCAGCCCTCTGCAGGGGGCGGGGGGGTCAAACACAGTCAGCAGCATTTCTGCACAGGATGCATCATTCACTCATCAACTTGGAAGAACAGTGCATAGGACGACCTCGGCAGCGAGCACGCGGTTGTTTGACTTTGTCTACCAGAATGTCCATTGTTGGAAAATGGCGCTGAAGAGACGCTGGGACAGTTAATCCAACTTTGAAGCAATTTGTTTAGAATGTTTTGAACATTTTACACGGACGCTCATTAGAAATTAAAATGGGATAATGGTTGCGCCCCTCTTCAGTTACATTCATCACCCGAGTGAAAAAGGAACATGTCAGCTTTGCAAATCCAAACATGACAAACCTCCATAGTAGTTTATTTTATTTCTTCTGTGGCTCGCTGATGTGTTTGAGTGCAGGAGACGCTTGTGGCCAGACTTCTCACACAGCAGTGTTCTTGGCCCACCTGTAGATGGCAGTATTGCAACACTCACGGTGATGTATGTTTTCCAACCGAAGCAGTCTTTCAGTGCACAGTTTCCAAGCGGTTTTTGGGTGAATGGCACCACCTAGTGGAGGCCCTGTGTACAGGCACGGATGAGGATTTGAATATCACACACATGGCAGTGACTGGGACCAATTTGGCGCAGGATAATAAAATGGTTTCCTTAAGATTCCCCTTTTGGTTTAGGGAGTTGTAAATGTTCCTCTTGTGTTTTTTTTCCGTTTCATTGCTGCTTCAGGATCAGAGCGTTTGGATTATCTCTCGTTTAGCTCATTTGGCGCTGCTCCTCGTTCCAAATGTTGTCATTTCTTTTAACTGTTACCTGGGATCCATCTCTGGAGTGTTTTTTCCCTTTTGCCTTTTTTGGGATGTATATTTTTTTTTTAGTTGTATGTGTGATTATGGAAAAGTTAAACTCACGTTTCTCATTAGTGTTTGAGTGTGCTTCGAGGGAACGAGTAAGTCAAGTTAATTTTTTTAAAAGATTTTTTTACATTTAAATGTAAACATTAAATTTTTGATATTCGTCATTCTCGGAAAGAATTGCTGCATATGCGTTTCGTACATTTTTGCTGCAGGATGCATGTGGGGTTAACTCGCTCTAAACGTCTGCATGTGGCGAGGTTGTGACATGTACCTGGTTGAGCGCTCTGAACTGCTGTTTTTCGCTACACAAACAGCCGATTATGTGAGAGCAGAATTGACTGTAACACTTCCCCCTGCAAATGGAACTCCCATAGCCGTACTTACTCTCATTCTGTAACGACATTGATACCACTTTCTTTAACGGGAGGTCCCTTACCATCTTAACCACATCCCTTTATTTAAATGTTCTTGTCCAGGGCGTGCTCAGTCATCACTTCTATCTCAAGCTCTCAGTTTAACTTTGCATGTTAGTGAAAGCGAGTGCCGCTCTGTTAGGCTCATTTTATTTCTTTAAACACACCCCATGTTTTTTTTTACTCACCGCACAACATTTCTGTCCACACAGCGTTAAATCAAAAGGACTTCTTTTTGAATAATCGGACATCAAATCGCCGAGTTTATCAGTCACCGGAGTTCAGAAGTGTAAATAAATCGCAGGAATGTGACGCAGGTATCGGAGGGGGCAACCATTATCCGTGTAGTGATCATGTACGCAAAGTAGTCCAGAGCTTTCCTTTGAGTTATTCTTTACTCGAGTTGTATAGAGTTAAACATTTTTATATATATATATATATATGTAAGGATAAGCTAACGTGTCCGGACGTAGATCAATTTTACAAGACAGTGTTTTCTTTCTAATTCAGATCCCCAAAAAAATGGAGGAATTATTGGACCATATTTCTGTTTTCTTTACAACGTTTGACAAGAAAAAACATTTAAGGGAAAAAAACAAACAAAGAAAATAATAAAAATGTGGCCAATATACCGTGAGCATGCAGGTATGTGAAGCCGGTTCAACCTTAGCCCAAAGACGTGTGGTTGTGTTTGATGTCCTCGTGTCTGGTGCCTTCACGGTTCATTACCTTTTACTGATCGTGCAACTTTTTTTAAAAATGCATTTTTTAACTGAAACGTACTCTGTGAGGTCCTTTTACAAACATATCACATACACTGACTGAGCAGCTTTAACACCTTGTGTACCTTCAGATAAACACTACCTCATACAGATCGCTGGGAATGCCACTGACCATGGGATTTGTAATGACTTGTTTTCGCCGTCAGAAACAAGAACATTTTGGTCGTGCACTTTAACTGTGACGTCATGCTGATGTTCAGCTCCCTGCAGCTCCGACAAGGCAGAGTCATTGAAGAGAAAAGCACTTTGAATTATCATCTTTTTAATTGACTTAATACGCCATTTTATAAAGCTAATATGTAGCGTTAAGAGTAAGACATTCACCCTGTTTTTAATCATTTGAGACCCGCTGTGCATCTTGATGACGTCACATTTTAAGTCCTGTGTTTCCAAGACTTGGGATCACATCCACTCATGTTCACGGGTACATGTTGAACCAAGGCCGCAACAGGATGCGGTCATTAAATTAAGACATTTAGTGGTTTTGCACTTCAACTCTGAACAAGTTTAAACGGCTCTCACCAGAGATTCTCAACACGTTCTGAAAGTTTCAAAAGGTATCGGGACAAACGAGAGTATTTGAAACAAAATGTCTCCTTGTTACTTTTTGTAAATTCTTGAATTTGAGTGGTTGCGTTTTTGTTTTTGTAAGATGTACAGTTGTTCTAAACTGACTTATTCATGTGTTTGTTTCCTTTTTGTTTTGAGTTGAACTTGTGTCTTTGAGGTTTGTGTTGCAATAACTCTTCTGACCTGACTGTATTTTATGTTGTGCGTTACACTTTTTTATTTTTTTAGAGCTGTGGTTAAATCCTGTGGATTTGAAAGACAAAAAAAGAAAAGTATTGGCTGTGCCGGTGGTAGTTTTATTATGTTATGAGACTTCTGGTCTTGTAATGACACAACAGATTCAAATTGAATCTATTTGTATCTTAATTTTAAGAACACATATATTTATAAATTTTTACTATTTCTTAATGTAATTCCCCTTGAGGAAGTGGTGCTCCATCGCCACATGGTTTACACATTTCACCTCGTACTGTGTGGCTGCAGTGGGGTCTTTAAATATGAGATACCTACTGGGCTTTTCTTGTGTTTTCATAAGAGACCTTTGTCTTTATCTTGGCTGCTAATGTCTAGCATGTACTAGCTTCAGATCACCACACTAACCATGTTGGATGCTAAACAACTTACCTTGTATTTATTCGTTTAACAGGTCCCTCGTGTTGTGGATGGTGCTGACACTTTTGCAGAGTGGCTGAAATAATGACTCGATTCTCTCTTCGTTTGCAGGTCTCGGTCCACTTTGACACTGCCTGTCGTGTCGTCAATGCTTCTGCTACAGTAGCTCCAAAATCCAAAGTTTAAAGGGACCATGCCAAAGGTTTAGCCTGGACGTCAACGTCTGAACACGATGAGAGGTGTATCTCAGACTTATCCCAACTCAACTGGCTGCAGATCGATGAAGCGTCGCATTGAGTCCCACCGTGCTAGGCTACTCTTGCATGATGTAGCAGCTACTTGTCTGTTTGGTTATTAGGAAAAGATCCAATGCCTGACATTTGAGTTGGGAAGTTTGTCCCGCTGGTGTATTTATTAAGATCAGCTTCAGCAGATTCTATCGGGTCATTTGAAACCACTTGAAGGGTCTTGCCATATCCCACATTTTGTGAAAGGCTTTCTAACGTACTGGAATATTGATAAATCATTCGCTGCATGTTGTTTTAATAAGTTATCAAATTGAGTCAACATTGTGCTGTTGATGATCGTTTTTCACCCCCAGTTTTATGTTTCTGTGTGGTCGGTTGAATGAGTAGAAACACCCTGGGGTAGAAGATACTATACAAAAGGTTGAACATGTTCCAGACCAGCATAAGGCCCCCTTGTGGTTTTCAAATGGCCTGCGTTTGCCTGAGTCACAAAAAGTCGTATTTTTAAAAAAAAAAAAAAAAAAAGAGCATTGATTGCAGAAGAATGCAAAACCATTGGCATGGTCCAACACGTGGTACTTCCTGGTTTAATCCCATTGGGCTGCACATGTTTATCGGTGGCACTGTTTGAGATTCGTCCAATGAAAACACACCTGAAGCGACCAACGAGTCACGACAGGTGTCAGTGCATCCCCTTAAACACGACGACGACGTCATGTATTAATGTGTTAATTTCTCTGCAGCGTGCTGATGGAGCAGAGCAGACGATGATTCTACCACACTTTTTTTTTCTCTCTTACCTCGCTCACCTAACACTTCAGGTTCTTTTGCAGCCGTGCAGAGTCCAGGCTCGGATGAAGACTTTACTTAAGCTTACTTCCCTCATGGGGGAGGAGGGGGGGCGGTCCACCACGTTTCCCTCCATTACTGCTTTTCCTGCCACCGCTGTTCTTCCGACTTGCATACATGTGTGACCGTTTCTCTTCTTGAACTTAAGACTTCTGTGTCAAGCAGGGGGGGCCTACCTGGATTGTTTGTTAGCCCACTGGATGGAGGTTTCCATCTCTGTGACAGCAGCCGGGTTCACAGAGCAGACGCCACTTTATGGCTTTCACTGCACCAAAAGGCGTCCTGCCCCTTGACTATGAGTTTGGTTGGATTTTGAAAAAAAGAAAGAAAACCCCGACAGTGGTTTTCCTGATCTCGAACATTACAGTACACACAGAAAAATGACTGAAGTCCAGCCGTGAGTTTTATTAAAACTTGACACCTCCGTCCTGTCGTGTGTTTGCATTTCGATGTTTACCACAAAGTTCTGTTCTGTGAAAGTTCTGACATCGCTGTAATCTGTTCTGATCATGTGAAATGTGATTTTTCTAAAGAGATTGTTTTAAAGAATGGAAAATCATTGAAGAATTTGTCAAATCTGAAACCACAAACTGGAGAAGAATAAATGTTTTTGATACAAACAGCCTTGAGTTTGTTTTTTTTATTTGAGTTTTCAAAGACTTCTTTACCAATCAGAAGGTCCGCCGTCTTGGCCCCGTGTCCACCTGCTGTTTTTTCAGAAAAGCAGTAAAGCGCTCTGGAGCTCTTTGCATGAAGCGTATGTGTGCTGAATGAAAGCGCTGTACATTGGTCCTGTCTCCATGACAACGGCTGCTGTATGACCGACACTGCTCCGTTACTTTTTACTTTAGGTTTTTTTTATTTTGAGATCGATTATTTCCCGATCAGACACAGAGCGAGGAGGATGTGTAGGTGGCAAAAATACGCGGAAATATTGTACATTTGGAAAAGAGGTCACCAGTGATGAGTGATGTCAACAGCGCCTTTCTGAAAAGTTGAAAGATTTTCAACTTAAGTGCTTGGACACTCCGTGTTTTCTGTAGTCGGCTGCCTGCTGCTGCAAACGCTTTCTCCTCATTGGAAACATTTGGAGAAAAAATAAAAGACGCTGGAGATCAGAAATAAAACGCTAGGTGGACACGGGGCCTTAGAGTCTGACGCCTAATATTAAGTTGGACATAGTTCTCATCTTTTCTCCATGATGATCCCTAAAAAAACCTCATCATGTGATTAACTCCTTAACGTTTGAAGATTAGGACCTCTGAGATCGACTTTCACCTCTGTCGGCCTTGATTATCTTGTGTTGTTCAAAAAGCAGCGATTAGTCGGGAAAGGGAAATCCTGAGTCGCAGGAGAATATGTTCCCTCTTTCCTGACACTCGAGTTTTCTTGCTTCCTCTTGGTTTAATCTGGAAACAAACCGTTCAAAGAGAAACAACTGACCTGCATGTTCCTGAACCACAAACGACCGTTATGTTTCTGCACACTGTCAAATATCCAAGTCAGTTTTTTTTTTTTTTTTTTTTTTAAGCTGGTTGGGAAGTGCACACCAAAATTACAAAGTGTGGAACCGTTTCCAAAGCGCTGAACATTTACACCAGTCCACAAACAAATTGCAGAACGACGTAATCATACCAAAAAGGGAACATACCAAATGCTGCAAGTGACCCACAAGTCAGTGTTGAATGTGTCCTACGGAGTTTATGGTGACGCAATGATATTTTGCCCGTTATGTGGAACCCACCTGAGCCTGAAAATGCAATCTTGCGTTTGGTGTAGACGGTCTCTGCAATTATGAACCACACGGACCAGATGGAAGGACCAAGGCCAAAAACCTTTCCATGTAGGCTGTGTCCTTTAGAAATTCCAGAGGCATTTGGTACGTTCCCTTTCAAACAAGATTCTGTCGTTTATTAATTTATTTCAGGACTGGTAAAAATGTTTGTTGAAGTCTTTACCAGTTGATGTTTTTTGTCTTTGCTGTCTTCCTCCTCTTTTTTTTTTTTGTTTGCATCGTTTAGCACTTCTACTGTCTTCAAATTTGCAAATTAATAAATCTAAATTAAAATTGATTTGTTTCGTCGCTGAAAGCCTGTCCTGTTTGATACGTCGATCATGGTGAAATCATGTGTTGCACGTTTTGTGGAACCCACCTGAGCCGGTCTCTGCAACTTTGGAAGGACCGAGGGCACCTTCCTGACCTCTCACCTCAGGCTCTGTCTCAGAGGTAAATTTCCTTTCCGACAGGTCGTTTTAACTTTTAAGAACGCTTTTGGACTTGTGATTTTGTTTTGCACTTCCCTAACGCAGAAAGGTTTACAGACCCATGCAGAGCTGGCTAAACACTGAAGCTTCTGTGTCCACCACACGGTGACCTGCGTGAGCATCTCTAGAGAGGGGGGGGGAGACAGCTCTCTATAATGTTTAGAATTTGGACTGCAGTACCCATTTAAAACACTAGGTGTCATAGTTACATACTGCTCCTTTTAATGACAGTTTCCATTTCTCCTGTCCCACTTAAAGGGTAAATTCTTCATTTTTTGAACCTGTTTTGAAAGAAATAGCCTGCTGTGGTTGTCTTCACATGGCATTGATGACTAATTGACATGGTGTTGGAAAGGACCAAAAGGTGAGCTTATGATTCTACCATTAAATGAATGTAGAAGTCTTTCTTTGAGGGTGCGTTCCATGTTCAGGAACCTAAACGTGTATTTTCCCTCCAAACTTACCGCTGGCGTCCTGAGTTCTCTGCCGCTTGCCCTGCGTGGAAAGATCAGAGGGCTGCCATTTGCAGAACTCTCTTAGATACGGGGAGTTTTTTGTTTTCCAGAATGCCAGACTGTTCGTTTTGCAAATGTCAACATTTGTAAAAGCTGTGGTTGAGCTCCAAGCAGACTGAGGGCCCCCAGAGGGATTAGAGGAGGCTCTGTTTACCTGCTCTGAGGAATGCTGCCCTGCGCCGATGCTTTTGTATCTGTCAGGGACCCAAGGTCACAGCGACGGCGGAGATGGGCTGCTTTGTCCCTCTCCAAATTTTCCACCTCGCAGTATCAACAACAAACACAATGTGGGTGACCTGGGTGAAGGAAATGGAATTCCTGCTCGTGTTGCTACAGTGTTCAAAACCCTTATGTTCGACGGTGCCTTTTTACCTTTGATCGAGTCTGAGTGAAGGATTTGGATACGTCTTGTGACTTGAATTGAAAGAAAAATATGGTAGACTCACATTGATATGTTTTATTAAAAGTATATTTTGGTGATTACTTAGCACCTCTGATTCCTTCTGGATGTGCATTCTGCAAAGTCAAGCGCCTTACTCCTTAGAAACTGCTCAAAAGAAATGCCCATTGGTGTGTCCAGTCAGCCCATGAATCTGCCACACAAATGAATTTATTTAGTACCAGTAGCAGCTGATAAATCTTTTGTCTGCAGTGCTCGTGTTCCACCACATGGTGTCGCACTCTCACCACTTAAAGCCATGCTTACTGAGGCTGCACTCGATCTCAAACAGCGTGCAGTCCTCTCTCACAGCAGCAGCACACATTAAGAAGATAACCCTAAAATCCCAGTATTAAGTTTAACATGCTCACTATAAGTCCCTGAAATGCTGGAAGATTACAGCGATTTGTTGAGACTTATAAATGTTTTACTGAGCTGTAATTTCACACAGCGGCTGCGTTCAAGCGTCCCATATAGCCTCCTAGTGGGTGACTGTGACCCCCCCCTCCCCAGTCAAACCAGCAGACACTGTGAAGCACATTCAGGCCCAACAAACACGCTCGTGTTTAATTTGTCTGCAGGTTTGAAGATATTTGCTGTGTGCAAACCTCGTTAAATCTGACATGGGCTCTCAACATTTCGCAAGAAGGCTAAAGGTAGTTCAAAGCACAATATTTTCTCCATTTTTGTTGAAGCCTGCAAACAGGGCCAAACTGTTTGCCGTGACTCCCCGAGTCACCGCGGAACTCATCCAATTACAAAGCAGTCGTTACGCACCAATTAAGACCCACATGAATAAACGCTTCACGTTCATTTTAAAGGACACTAATGACAAATATGAAGCTTTCTCATTCACACAAAGACATGTAACAACTGCAAGTTTGAAGATGTTCTTTATCTCATTTTGTAATAAACATATAAATAATAAACTCTAGACATTTTTGACGCATCGCCCTGTTATGAAAGTTAAACTTGGTATGGTCTGCCTATATATAGACTATCCAAACTTTGCATCTGCCGCAGGTCATTTCTATAAAACTATTTCCCTATTTAAAAAATATGAAAAGAAAAATACATTTTTAGTACATTTACAGGAGTTACTTATTAATTTATTTTTTAACCAAACTTGTTTCAGTACTACTCGAACTGTCATTGAAGTGTCAGAAATCTGCATTGAATCTTTTTTTTTCTCAGAATAAAACAAGAAAAAAAAATAGAAAAGAGAAAACCAGAAAATGAAGAATGCAGACACGAGGCAGAATATCTGCCCCTCTCCGACAACTCAAGACAACAGTTTCCAAAATAAAATAATACAACAAAAAAAAAATCTGAATAAACCAAGCAGTACAAGAATTTTTTTTTCCAATACTTTCCCAACTACTGTATTTAAATTAAAATATATTCTCATATCTTACACTATTTCAAATAACGAAATGTGATTCGGTAGCGATCTGTCAAAATCTAATTTACAATTCTGTGTATAAAAATATAATTTATGGAACCCCGCGAAGTTTGTTCTCCCCAAAATATAACAGTCAGTTGCACACATATGCACACACACATATGAACATTACAACCTGTCAGATTGAGCTCCTCTCTACATGGTCTTCTTTCTCTTGGACTTATTTTTCTCTTTTTTCGTTTTTGTTTATTTTTTTTCTTCATTTTTTTCTGTCGTTTTTTTTCTTTTTTGCATTTGAGATATACAAAAATAGATTATGCACAATGTGCCGCTCACACAGTTTTTTTTTTTTCAGAATCCGTGTGTGTGTGTGTGTGTGTGTGTGTGTGTGTGTGTTTGTTTGTCTGTGTAATGTGTGCGTGTGTGTGTGTGTGTGTGTGACAGCAGCGAGTTCACATGAGAATAAATTATTCAAAGAGAAACTTTTTAAGGCTCCATTCATTCTTTGAAAGGGGACACATGGAAAAGTCAGTGAAATAAATATCCCAACTCCGCTGGGGGGCCTTTGCCTCGTCTGTTCGTTCGTTTTTTTAATTATTATTATTATTTTATTTTTTTAATCTACTGAATAGTCCGCGTGTCCTACATGTCAGTCTCACTCTCTGGAGAAGAGCTTTCAACTCGGGCATACCGACATCCCCAGTGGATGAATCGAGTGGCTGTCCAAGAGCCATGTTCCTAATTGATAAAGGATCTTGGAGTACCAGTGCACCCCGTCGTTCTGCTGCACACTGGCACGAGGCTGGGAACTGAAAAGCAACGAGGACACCCAGTGCGCGAGCCTGACAGGTGCCAGAGCCCAGTGCGCCAGCTGGTGGTCTTCGATCACTGCGTAACAGGACGCAAGGACCTGATCCACCACGACGTTCCCCTGCATGGTCACGGGCGCAATGACCCCTCATGCTCTTGCGTGTAAATCCGTTTTACGGTCACGGGCTCGAGCCGATCGGCGTCGAACACGAACACCTTTTGTCCGGGTTGGATTTGGCTCGCGAACACCGCCGACATCCTCTCCCCCCCGTCCTCCGTGCTGTTCTGACCGCCGACGACGAAGAGGAGGTGCGCGGCCGTCAGGGTGATTCTGTGGCCCGAGTCCGCTTCGATGACGTAGTAGAGCCTCCTGGTCGTCGAGTCCTGGTCTATGAACATGATGAAGTCGGTGTAAATCGGGTTTCCCTCGCCATCAGCTGCCAGGACACGGTCTCCCTTTTGGAGGTCTTTGACCGCCTTCTTGGTGCCGTCCTGCAGGCTGACCGTGGAGGATCCTGGGAAGCAGCCGCCTGATTTAGCTGCCACTGAGTTTTCTGTCAAAATAAAACAATAATGTTAAAATACAACCAAGCAATGTTTCCAGTGTTCCCATTACATAAGTGTTGTCTCCAAACGGCCGTTTTTTAAACCGCCATATAGGCCTACATTTTATGGACTTAAAAAAAATCCCTCGCAGGTGCTTTGAGTCTTCTTTGAGCTCCATTCAGAGGCCAATTCAAAAACCTCCTTTTTCGGCTCGTATTTGTATTTTTCCTGCCCTGCACACATCCTGGTGGGCCATATGCATTCTGCATAATGATGCCTGTCTGCCAAATGCGTATTGGCTTGGCCCACGTTGTCTGAGACTTGAAAAACTGAAAGCCTTGGCTCATCTATTCTTAATTAAAAAACCCAATAAAGGGCAGCCATTGTTATTCTAAATCAGCTTGTGGATCGAGCGACTCTCGGTAAAGAACACTTACGCCTTTCCCAGCTCCTCTCCCCATATTTACTCAGGTGCAGAAACCTCTATGTGACAATTCACACAAATAGGCGACTCACAACTACTATTTACCCAGTGGAGCCCACTTTTCCAAGCCTCTCGAGTTGTAGATTTGAATTTAAATGAGGGCCCGGACTCTTAAATGCTTTCTGTTGTGCAAAATCAATGTCCCCTCTCTCCACCACCTCTCCCTGCTTTGTAGTCAGTCCTGATGACAATAATTTTGGCCTTGGTGGAGCTCTTCACATACCAGTCTCTAGGATCACACTGTCACTGCACACACAGGGGGGGAAAAAAGGGGGTTTCCTACTCACAACTTTTAATCTTCTTTTAAGATTCCCGAGCATGGAATAAGGTGACAACTGAAAACCAGATTTAGCCCGACCAATTCAACATTGTTCAAGCCAAATCCTTTTGGTAAAGTCGCATGACCCCTAATGACACGTCGGCCCGGCCCATACTGTGATCTCAAAACGTGTGTGCTGAATGATAAATAAGGGATTTATCAATAAAGTCTGCGCTAAGAAGCTAAGAGAAAGTGGCATCAGTCAGTGTGAAGCACCATAGGTGTCCTTTTAGTCCAGAGGAGGCTATTTGATGCAAAACAGGGAGCCAAAATGAAGGATGTGTTCAAATTAAAACTGGATTTTAAACGCTTAGAAACATCGAATCTGGAGGCAAAATCGTTTAGATATTTTAGATTTATTTTTTAAAATCAAATCCAAAATAATTACCCCCAAAAAGCAAAAACGTGTGCGTAAAACTCCAGAGAAACGACGTGAGTGTCTTTTCTAGGTCACATCGAAGGAGCATGGCTGGATTGTGATGGTCGTGGTTCCCACCAGGAGACAGTGTGGGGCGATGTAAGATCAAGAAATAAGCTGCATGGGAAATGTTCAGTGAGAAGCTCCAGGCGGGCGGGGGATGCGCGCATACATCATTCATAGAAACGATTTCATAATAGTGAATCAAGTGAATGATTATAGGCTGAGACATTACATCATCAGAGAAACACTGAGCGCCGCTTTCTTGATTTAATGATTTTTTTCGTTTATTCCTTTTCAAATTAATCCAGATATTGTTTAACATTTCTGCTCCTCTTTTTTTTAAGCCTTCAGAGGTTGATTGTAAGTTTTTCTGGAGAGCTTAATGAGTTTTTGCGTGAATAAAAGTCCGCTATTTTCTCTTTTTGGACTCTGATGCCTTCCATACATCTACCCTCAAAGAATACCTCAGGAAACTGTTATTGAGCATGAAAACCTCATAATAAAGCAGTACTTCCTCTTCCCTGACTTGCACCTGCTCCTTTAGACCTCACTTGCAGCTGATTGGTAATATGCGCACTGTGTCTTCATTCTGGCGAACTATCTTACCTGCTTTCACCGAGCAGTGGATGTGCGCTTTGGATTCGTAGTAGACCCAGTCGAATCCTGCTTCCACCGCCAGCCTGGACAGAGTGCCATACTTGCTCTTGTCTCTGTCCGAGGTGGTGATGTCCACGGCTCTGCCCTCGTAGTGGAGCGACTCCTCGAAGTGGTGTCCGTCCTCGTCCCAGCCTTCGGTGACCCGCAGCTTTACCCCGGGCCACTGATTCATCACCGAGATGGCCAACGAGTTCAGCTTGTCTTTACATCTCTGCGGGAAGAAAACGAAGAAGAAATGTGCCAATTAGTCACCTGTTGTGTGTCAAAGCTCGGAGAAATAAGCTGTCCAAGTGCGTAAAATATGCAAACAAGTTTCATTCTTGACCATTTGTCATCCAAACTTTTTTCACCTTGATAGACTTTCGGATTCCACGAGAAGGAGATGCTTGCAATTTGGAAAAAAATAAAAAATTGGCACATAAACACACCTGAAAGTTGTCTCCCACCCCCCCCCCCCCCCTTTAAAATCGAATCCAAATGGAGATCTGTTTTTGTTTTCTTGATTCTCAAAGTGAGGCCTCACCCTCGCCTCTCCATCCCCACCTGCCGCCCCTGATTCCCCCCCCGGCTGAGGTGAAACCCCGAGCCCTGAGCTGCCTCTGTGGTCCTGGATGTGAGCTCACATTTGTCAGTGTGAGCAGCAGCGTCAGAGGGCACATCTCGTATAAGAAAGCTGCCGATGAAATATTGATAAGGCACCGCATTCGCTTCACTGGCCTATAACATATGGGTCTTTTGGTTTGGAAAAGGTGCGAGCAGCATCCCTTTGCCTTCCTCTCCAAAAGAGTTTGCACTGAGCACAACATGCGGACATTATAAATTCATGAGTTCGTATTAGGGCCACGGAATGAGCGCGTCCTTTTTGTTGGTTGCAACTTGTCTGTTTTCTTTCAATCAATAATTGATATGCAGATGATATGAAGATTATCTTCAAGAGCAGCTGCTGCCTTCAAATATCTGAAGGTTGTCCTATAAATAAATCGTCGCATCCCAACGCGCTCTCAATGAAGATGCTTGGCCTTCTCCAAGACAACTATTCTCGACACTCGAGCAATATGTCAAATAAAACATCACAAAGAGGCTTTTCAGTGCAGCCGCGGAGGGAAACTTTCATTCTCCCTCTCCTTGCAAAGTCTTGGAGACGTGACATGCCTCCCTAAGTCGAGCTGTTGTGGCTGCTGACTGACAGACTTGTGAAATATCCAGGGGTTGTATGGCTGCACAGAGGAGCGTCTATATGTGTGACCCCCCTGTCTCCCTTTTTATCTTATGGACAGCTTGTTGGTGCTTCCTAAAGCAAGAATGTTCACACACAAGTTAAAGAAGAAGAAGCTCCTCATATATCAGTCTGTATTTTTACGAGGATATCACACTTGTAGAATGTGTTGTATAAAAAAAAAAAACCCGTCCCCTTAAAAAAAACAAAAAAACTCCCACATTCAGAGTGGGCTTGTCGGAGTCAAGAGCCGTAAAGCTGAACCTATTTATTAATTCATTAGGTCGTGTGCCGCAAATCAAGCCAAATTCTGCTCAGCCACCGTGAAGCGCAGCAGGGCGCCCCAGACCGGCGCTTTGTGCTCGGGGTAAAGTTGTTCAACAGCCTCCCCTGTTAATCTTTTCACAAATGATTTGGTTAGAGGAAACACTTATCAGCTACCTGTCAGTGCAAATACGACACCAGCTCATTTATTTTTCTCCCCCCACAAAGCGTTTACACTGTGGCTACAAGCTGCAGGATCCCAACAGAAGAAAAACAGACTTTACATGTGGAAATCTCAAAGATTAAAGTCACATTTATCAGTATAAAAAACATAATTTTACAGGGAAAATCAACCAATTTTTGTCACTTCTTCATCTACACAGCTCCTTATTGTTTTCAAAGTAGTCCCCTTAAAATTCTTAAAACAAATCAAACTTCACTAGAAATACTTTATGATTAAGGGAGCGAGCAATGCAGCTGCTCCACGAGCGAAATCAACCCCTAATACTGAGACAAAGTGAACTTTAGGAGTAGATAAGAGGCGATCATTTGTGGATTTGATGGTGAAACTGATGCTCCTGCTAATCTCTCTCTCTATCTCTCTCTCTCTCTCAACCCCCCCCCCCCCTCACTCCATCAAACATCTTCTCTGAGTGTCTGTAAAACGAATCTTTTGGCAGTTTTCCTTTTAGTGAGTTGTGTCTAAATAGAACCGGGAGTGAGGATTGATGCAGCAAATTTATAGTCTTGGCTGGACCCCAAAGAATAAATAACTGTGTTTATTGCAAACACACACACACACACACACACACACACACACACACACACACGCACATACGGGGCTGCAGCAGAAACGAGCCGTGTTCCATGTTTAAACACAACATACATTCCCTAAAACGTGGGTTTACAAGCAACGTCCATATTGGCCGTGCGTAAAACTCCGTGCGTAAAAACCCACTTAATTCATGCGTAAAGCCATGCAACAGCACAACGGCAGCTGGCACAGCGTAAAGCCCCATGTGATAATGCTTATGCCACTGGCAGAGTATAGTCTACAAAAACAGCCACAGTCCTCCTCTTTTGAATGTAAGAACCCTAAAAAAAGATGATTTCTCAAATCCATACGATAAAAAAAACATTTCACCTGTTTTAACTTACTATGAACTCGCGCTGACCAAAGGTCATAAGTTCATGATGCTTTTCAGGCCGCGTGAGGGGCGCCCAAAAAGCACTTTCATGTAAATGTCTCTCTTTGAGGGCTGTTGGTGTGCTTCTCTGGGGATGCTCAGGTGCTGATTGGAAAGCGGAGGATGAACCCAAATATTGACCTTCTTTAAAACAAATCAGTTAAACAATCAGCAGCCCCCCCCCCCCCCCTCCCAAAAAAGAAGTGTTATTTGCAAGCAACTTCCGGCTCACCACCACAGAGGCCATATGTAATCTCGTATTATCTGAAGGAGTCCATGTGTGCTGGTATGATTACACACAGACCTGTAAACACAACAGCAGGTGGGGTGTTTGACTCACACTAAAAAAAAAACCTCAGACATATGCCGGTAAATAATCTCTGGAATTAATGAAACATCAGGAAATAAAAACGGTTCCCCTTATTTCTGGAGATCTTGGAAACTCCTCGAGAAATCAGCGTGGGTTCCCTGGACCACTGTAGTCCCCCATGCGCCTGCAAATCCACGCCGCTCTGTGTGTATGAGAAGCTATAGGTGTCTCGCAGAGGAGATGTGGGGAGGGCTGAGCCCGCACGCACAGTGAATATTTCATCGCAGCTCGTGCTCATGCATGGTGCAAGGCACGGGTTCAGGCACTCACTGCGCGCGCATGGCTTCATCGCCACCAGCAGCAACAGCAGCCACCTCAAACCATCACCACCACCACCGGCATTTTTAGCCAATATCACCCAAGCGCCTTTTTAATAATTCAGAAGCATCTGAGTGCTAAAAGTCATGCTGGAGAGACGCGGATCCTGCAGCCTGGAGAGAAATCAAGGCTACATCTCTCTGTATGCTGAGCGCTGGTCTAACTAACTACCTAGCTGCACAAGGATGGAGTATTTAAAGAAAGATGTCATCATCCATGCAAGTCAGGCACCATCACCCCCCGCGCCTATAACTGACCGAGTCCCACCCAGAAATGAAGTCCTGATAGTGTCCAGGACACTCAAAAAAAGAAATGTCACTGTCTTCACACGCCGCTGCACACCATCCGAAAGGCTAAATTACAGCAGCACTGCGCGAGAAAATGTCTGAATGAGCCACGCCATGCCTGAATAAGCCCGGCTGTTTGAAGCGGTGCTCATCACCAAGCCGCCTGTGTTCAAGAATAAAAAGAAAAAAGGCGCTTAAAGCAAAAAACCTCCCCAATGCAAAAGCTTAAATCAGCAACAAATACTGCATGTGTTCGAAGAGCGTGGATGTGCGCATGTAAGACAACAAATAGAGCCTCACAAAGATACAAATATAGATATGAGGAGAGGGGGCACATTAATATTTTAAATCCACTGTCACAATCATGAAGGCCGAGTGTCCTGACTGTCCGCCTGCACATCACTTCTTCTCCAGCTGGATTTTCTACATTTCGCTCTCAGCCTGCAGCCGCTGAAAACTCCCATGCTGCTGCAGAAAGAAAGCGCATCTGCTTTTTTTTTTTTTTTACAGTGAAGTTAAAAGGCTCGGAGCTGAGAGTTCAGCAGCGGGTAAAACAAGACTTCACTTAAGGTGCGCAATCGGTCTGACAAGGAGGGTTGTTGCAGTGCGCAGTGATGAGGAAAAAAAACAGAATTGTGTCTCCTTACCTGAGTCATTAGCCGGTCGGCACCGGTGTTCTCCTCATCCTTGAAAATGATGTCTGTGTTATAATTGGGAGTCAGTTCTTTAAATCGCTCGGAGTTTCTTGTGATCTTGCCTTCGTATCTGCCGCTTGCCCCGAGGGTCTTCTCCGCTACGTTGGGGATAAACTGCTTGTACGCAAGAGGTGTCAGCTTCTTCGGGTGTCTTCTCCTGCCGTAGCCCCTGCCCGGCCCGCATCCCATCCCAGAGGACACCAAGGACAAGCAGATGAGACCGACCAATACGATTCTGGTCCAGAGCAGCATTTTTGTCCTTTAAAGATCTCAAACGAGTCGCCGCTGCTATCTCTGCCGTCTGCCTCTCCCGGCTCTCGCAATGTCCTTGTCTCCTCCTCTACCTCGCCTTTCGCCTGGTCTCTACTGTGGCAGGTGCGGAAATGAACGCCTCAGACAAATGGCAATAACGGGGCACATCGAAGGAGGGTAAAAAAAAAAAGTAGAGAGGGAATTAAAAGCCACGGGATCTCTAGTCGAGCTGCAGCCGCTTGTGTGAGGCGACCGCTTTTACTGCTTTGTATTATAGCACCGATCTATAGCAGGGGAGGGATTTGATTGGCTCGCCTAGACAAACCCTCCTGATGTTATCCCACAAAAAAAAAATCTTAAAAGATTTCTTCCACCTGAGGGTGAGCCTGTGTCGCGGGGAGGAGGGGCTGTTCCATGGGAAAACATCAATTATAAACCGTCTTTTTTTTCACCCTCCCTTTTTTCCAGATCTCACAGGGGAGGCAGGACAGACACAGAGCCACAGTGCACAGCCAGAGCAGAGTAGTTAGGTGAAGTGATTTCAGAGTGTGTGCGGGAATCGAACTGCGTCTGGGAGAACTTTCTACTCTAAATGCGTTTCCTCGGAGAAAAAGGATTGCCTCGTGGACGCGCACTGCGCACCTCTGTGCCGGATGATTTTGCCGTGACCCCGTACTCTGCAATTAAACGAATCAACACAGTGAAGAGTTTATTTCCCCTTACAGATTATTAAACATTTGGATGCCGATGTTAAAATCGCTACTTTGCCAACTTTCCCTTGTAAACAGACGCTTGGCAACATGAAGATACGCACCAAACGTACCGTGGAGACGTTTGGTGCCATTAAGGTTAAATCAAGTCTAAAATAATTGGAGCAAAAAAGACAACAATTTACCTTTTGGTGTGACAGAAATTAAACTCTGTGAAACTCTAAAACCCGCCCTTACATCCGGTCAGTGCGCGCATTGTGCGCCAATCTTTTACGCGTGAAGCATCATTTAATTTCGCATGACTTTTTGTACCTTTATGTTCATCCAATTGTTGTTAAATGCACAACTCTGACTTGCATCTTGAGCTACACTCCTGAAGATTATGTTGGGAACAGGGCACTTACAGAGCAACATAGTGGGCTGTAGATCCATGACTGTCCCCCCTCCTATATGTTCTAGTTATGAGCCAAACGTCACCCTTAAACTGGTTTCCTTACAAAGACCACTAAAGGGGTACAAAGAGTCTTAGTTACCATAAACCAGCTACATTTGTGTAGTTTTCATTTCTGCTCTCTCCAGGCAGTAACTCTCCAAACTTTAGTCCATGGATCTGACACCTTAACCTGTATTATGAATGTTGGCCTTAAAATACACTTCAATCAGCAACCTTCTTTGTTTTATAAGCCCAACAAACACTTAAAAGATAAACTCCTTTTGATAGGTGTTTATATTGTTGATTTAAAAAAAATGGCACTGAACACTTCTGGATCCACATCCAAAGCACAACAGTTAAAAAGAAATCACAAATGTTTCATGAGGGCAAACTATTTGTGTGATAACAAACCAACTGTTGGGAGTAATTACAGGAGAGGAGCTTGTTGTGAGGGTAACTTCAGGCTCTCATCGCACACCAACAGTGTGGCACAGGTTTCTCTGAGGTGAAGACGGATACGGCTGCCTTTGGTGTGGCTTCAGTCTCATTAAACCCTCGCACTGGCTGACCTCCAGTCTGCTTCATTCTGCGCCAGCTTTGCAACCGGGGCAGGTGAGACTACCTGCCGCTCGCTCAGACTGTGAACATCAAGTCTTGGCCAAAAGATGGCTTGTGAACTTGGCACGCTGCTGTGTAACCCCTCGACCAAGATTCTCCACTACGCTTTACGGTCGAGAGTAAATTTATCGCTGACTTCTCTCTGTTTTTGCTAAATGCCGTACAGAGACGTCTTTAGTCGTCTTTAGTCGACATATTTCAGCTGTTGATTCTGCAGAGGTGTACTGTTCAAACACACAGCTGACAGCAGTTGTGGTGTCTTGAGGGACACCAGAGGTCAGAGTCTTGGTTCAGGTGTCACAGCTCTGAGATCAAACCCTGCATGCCACACAAACACCCAGGAGGTGCAGCGGCATGACCCCAAAACAGTCCTCGCACCAAACAAGGATGAGACTATAATCATAATTATAGAGACTTTAAAGGAGCTTTCTTGTAAGTGAACCAAAGTGACAAAATGTGACGCTAAGTGAAATGAATAATGCAGAGGTGGCGATGAATAATGCAACCTAAAGAGCAAGGTGTGCTGATGTGAGAGACTTGATTTGAACTTGCGGTTCTCCCAGAGGAAACCAACCGTGTATCAGCCCGACCCGGGGCAAATAGTATTTGCAAACATTACACTTCATTGTTTGGTTTTTGTCCTCCTCCAGTGCCAGATATAGGTGGAGTTTGCAACTCAAGGGAAATTGGAAATCACAGTAGACAGTTTAGACAGTTTCTCAAAGTATCTGAGGTGAGTTTAGCACGGGAGCTTTTTGAATGAGAAGCTGTCTAAAAATAACCCAAAAGGATTTAGAACCAACCATGAAACCAGCCCTCACCTATTGGATATGTTTAATAGGGAATGCATGCTAGGATGTAAATACTACCTTCCATTACAAACACTTCAAACAGTTTGCACTTCGGCCTTAAAATAAACATTTTCAGTTTGCCAAAAATAGGTCAGAAAGAATTTTTAAAGCCCAACAGCTAAACCAAGAACGAGCTCATAATCCTGCAATCTCCAGTGGATATGTTCACCTGATGAAACCGCAGAATCAAAGTTTGTCTCTGATGTAAGAGCTTTTCTGAACATGGAGAGCGTAAACCGAGGGCCCTTTTTTGCTAAAGTATGTTGAAGTTGGTTTCGCATGCGGAGGTGACACAGCAGAACAGCGGGGCTGGTTTTCATGAAACAACTCTGCAGGGATTGAGGGCATTACACAATTCATATTAAGAAGCCTGTTGCATGTGATGGCTAATCCGGTGTGAAAAACGGCCAATGAGTCATCAGGTCTTGGCTCGTTCTGTGTCCCTTCAATACCTGACCCCCCCATCCCCCTTCAACAAATCATACAGACCTCACTTCCCCCCTCATTTATCGTGCCTGAGACATCCACACCTGCTCTGTTTCCACTCGTTCTTTAAAGAGCTCCCTCTTCAGCCTGACATTTCAAGGGAATTAAAAGATATGCTTCGAATCAGACTAAATCCACACCCATGTTTGATTTCTCGTCCCACAGTCTCGATCAAGCACGAGCGAGATGCAACTAGACGTGTTTGAGTGGAGTTTTTACCCCGAGTAAGTCCCCCCCAATTACCGCTTTAAAGCCTCCTCCTGTCTGAATGTTTTGTAACATTGTTAGACGGATTAGAACTACAGAATAATCACGCACAAACATATAAGTAGTGTCAGGCTCTCTTGTGTTGTTTTCTTTTGCTTTGCTTTCCTTCCAGTGTGCACAGAAAGCCAGCCGTGCACCGCAAGTCATTGTGGCTTTCTCTAACAGGTGGGGTCGCCATTCAAACCTTTATCCTGCTCTGAACTTTTGACAAACACTTTAGCAGCACGGACACGTTGCCCTCTGCCACATCAACATGTGTACTCTTTTGTCAGGAGAATAAACATGAATAGTCTTCCTTGAAATGGTTTATCCAAGCCGCACGCATCGAGCATTGTGAAGAAGCAAAAAGGAGTCCAAATAGAGCCGAAGAGATTCACATGCCCTGAGGCTGTGCTCCGTCGAGCACAATGGGAATTTCACAATACAGTACGGTGGAATCACAGCCCTCAGCGTGCCCCGGAGTCTGTAAAGGCATTTTATTTGCACTCACCAGCCGCTCCCAATACTTAAACATTAAACGCCAAGGCTAGACAGGCAAAACCACTTTGAACTGCAGAGCGGGGTTAACTCAGAGGGAGGGGGAAGGAGGTGAGAGAGTGGTGAGGGGGGGTGTGTGTGTGTGTGTGTGTGTGTGTGTGTGTGTGTGTGTGTGTGTGTGTGTGTGTGTGTGTGTGTGTGTGTGTGTGTGTGTGTGTGTGTGTGTGTGTGTGTGTGTGTGTGTGTGTGTGTGTGTGTGTGTGTGTGTGTGTGTGTGTGTGTGTGTGTGTGTGTGTGTGTGTGAGATACTCCACCAGGTGAGTCAGTGCTGGCCGCCGCCGGAGTAGAAACACCATCACAGTCTGACGGAAAAGGGAAGGGCTCTGGTTCATTGTCATGCATGTAGCTGTTTGCTTTGAGGCAACAACTAGGCTGAACGTTTTCATTGTTTTATGTGATTATCAAAGAACACAAATTACATACTCACTGATTATTTGAATGTCAGGTAAGCGTTATTACATCACCGTCATTCTGTGTCAATTTACATGTAATGTGAAGCTCCAAACTCCATACTGTGGTCCATTCCAGGACTTGTACTGGCAACCCTCCAGTTCCCCACTGACGTCCCTACTGCCACCTAGTGGCTATTCAGTTATTCATGTGACTGATTTGACTGACAGGTGGACGCGTCAGAGGCTTAAGGCCCGCCTTAACTGTACCGCTTTGTCTCTTACTAGATTGATCGAAAGCTAGGTTGAGATAGCATTTTCAATACGGCGACTGCTACCGTTTGGCTTCATAACGCCTCGACAGAAACCAGTGGTGATGTCACTGAGACTACGTCCATGTTTTATACAGTCCATTGGTCTAAAGCTCTGCTGTCACCTCGAGGTAAGCAGGCAAACATTTAGGACTCTTTGAGGTTACTGCTTTTGGCCAAGAGAGCCGCACTTGGTTCCCACTGTTTGCTGTCTTTGTGCGAAGCTAAGCTAATCATCTGTGGGCTATAGTTACATATTTATTGTACAAATTTGAGAGGTTATCTATCCTCTCAACTTTGTCTTGACAAGAAAGCAAAAAGGTGCATTTACTCAAATGCCAACCCTTGCCTTTGCCTGGGACAGACTCCTTGAATTTCTAAAATATTTCTTAACTTGGCTCTAACCGTTCTAATAGTTTCTGATGTGAAGCTGAAGGTAGATTTAGCCGGTGAATCTGTTTCATATTAGAGCCCTCAAGTGTTATTTTCCTGAACTAATTCAGCTGGAACAACAACAGAAGGATTAGAAAATATCCCAACTTTGTTTGAGCCACACTTTAAAATCAAACACTGGATCCTACACTCCTCATGTGGTGACTCCATAGTGTCTGTCTGCTAAATGCACTTTCCTATCAATGTTAAACCTCCTGGTTTGTAACACTGGTTCTTTAAAA